TAGTTAGATATTAAGTAAAGAGCTATTATAAATATTTATTTATTTTTTTAAAATAAATCTTTTTTAATTATTATTTTTTTCTAGATCTTTATAATCTATAATAAACAGGATTTTCAGAATTAAATTTTATATTTTATAATTATTTATTATTTATTATTCCGAACTGTTAAATATATTTAATTTAAATAAATAATTAATCTTGCTATTTTATTTTTTTATTAAAAATTAAATTTTTCTAATTAAATATAAATTAAAGAATATTTTATAAAACTATCTAAAAAAATATATATACAGCTGTTATTAAAATTTCTGAATATTAAATAAATATTAATTATAATAGACTGCTGAATCAGCTCTGATTAAAAAATATTTTTTAATTTAATTAAATATTTTTTAATAAAAGATATAAACTATTATAAGATTTTACTAGATTTTTAATTAATATCTAAATCTTATATTAATAAAAATCTAGTTATAATTATTCTATTAGTCTTATATAAATATAATCTTATCTATTAATTATTAAATATAATAACTAATAATATTAATAATAATAATATAATATTTAATATAATCTTAGCTAAACTCTAAACTTAACTCAGTTAGAGTACTTAGTTTTATAATATTTTAATTAACTTTAATTTTTTAAAAATTATTTAAAATCAGTATTATATTTTTTATTTTATTTATATAATTTAGCTTATAATTAATATTCTTTTATAAAAATTTTAAATTAAGATCTTGAACAGTACTATTAAATATATATAAAAAAATAATAATAAAAGTCTTAAAATCTCTTTTAATATTTTAAGAATTTTTAAAAAAATATATTCTAGAAGCTGTCTGTAAAAGACTAATATAAAATCTTTTTTTATAAAAAGTTTTTAAAAATTTTTTATTAGTTAATTTATTATATTAATTCTTAATTATAGATTCAGAAAATTATATAATTTATAAATATAAATTTTTAATATTATAAGAAGTTTTTATTTATTTAATAATTTAAATTTAACTTAGTTTACTATCTTTTTTTTAATTATAAAACTTACTAAAACTTAATCTATTTTATAATTTATCAGATACTTAAACTCTGTTAAGTAATTAAAAGTTTTATTTAGTATTATAAATATAATAATATTAATTATTTTTATTCTATTATAATAAAATAAAAATAAATAAAATATCTTTTTAAATTTTTATATCTCTTTTTTTTTTTTATTTTCTATTTTTTTAAAAATAATAGATCTATTATTTATAAGATCTATAATATTTATAATAATCTCTTTAATTATCTAAATTACTCAATTAATAAACTAAAAAGAAAATAGATATTTTAAAAAAAAAAGATTTTTAAAAATTTATATAATATATATTAAAAGCTCTGAAAATATTATTATTATATTTATTAAATAAAAAATTATATCTATATAATTATAACTATTCTAAACCTAATATTAAAGCTTAAGAAGTTTAAGAAAGATATATAATTAAATAAGAATATTAATTAATATTATAAATATTAAATTATCTTTAAAAAAATATTCTCTTTTTATTTTAATTAAAATCTAGTAATTAATATATTATTAATAATCTTTAAATTATTATTAGATCTAGATAAGATCTTTTATAATATTTTTAAATACTAGAGATTCTTATCTATAGTTAAGATATATAAAAAACTTAAGATATATCTAGATATTAAAAATATATAGCTTCTTAAGATATTTTTAATTAAACTAATATAATTTCAGATATTACAGAATATATTAATATTCTTATTTATTAAAAATTCTGCTATAATTAGTTTTTTATTTTTTATTAGATAATTAAAGATTTTTTCTTAATTATAATTAATAATATCAGTATTAAATATCTTTTTAATAATTCTTAAGATATTTATTATTATTATCAGAGCTGTCTTAATTTTAATATAATTAAAATAATTATATTTTAAATATATATTAATTATTTTATTATAAATAAGAAATATTAGAATATACTTAATAATCTTAATTTAGATTTAATTATTTTTATACTTAAAAAATAAAAAAAAAAATAAGATAATTATTATCTTCTATATTAATAAGAATAAGAATATAGATAATCTTAAAAATAATCTAAAAAATAGATTATTATTAGAATTAAAAGAACTAGTCTTATCTAAATCTTTAATTATTATATATACTTAGATAAAGATAAAGACCCGGTCTTTATAATTTTTATATTATTATAATTATTATTTCAGATAATATAAAAAATAAATATTTTATATTTTTTTTTATTTTTTTTATATTAGATTTTATAAAAGTCTTTTTCAGAGTATAATATATTTTTTAATATAATTAATTAAACAGATTAAGCAGTAGACTATATCTAAAAAATATTATTATTTTTATACTATAATTAAATATATATTATATTTTATATATTATCTATATAAGAAGAATATATATATTATAAATTAATCTATAATTATTAATTTATTTATTATATCTAATCTTTCTAATTAGCAGATATAAATAATTATAATAATAATTATATCTTAATTTAATCTTAATTATATAGTTAAAAATTTTTTATATCTTAATCTAATTATCAGGTTATGGCCAGATTAAGGTTAAGATATAATGATCAGGTTAAGCCACTCTAGATAAAAATGAGAGAAAGATAAGAGAAGTAAAAAATAAGAAAAATTAAAGATCAGATAATTAAATAAGAACTTTTCTCTAATCTCTTAGAAAGACTTTACTAAACTCTTACTTTCTTATATAAATTAAATATAAAAATAAGATAAAAATAAGATAAAGATAAAAAAAAAATAAGAGAAAGATAAAAGAAATAATAAAAAAAATTAAAGATTAAATAAATAAAAAAAAGATTAAAAGCTGATTTAACTTGATTAAAACTTATTAAAAAACTAATTAAAAATTAAGAGATCTTTTTATTTATATTTATAGCTAATTAACTATTAAAAGTATATAAAAATATATAAAATTATATAAAAATTATATAAAAATTATATAAATAAAATAGGGCTAAGAATAATAGAATCAGTGATTAAATAAAGATTAAAATAATTAATAAAAATAAGATCTCTTGCTCTGCTGCAGAATAAACAGAACTTAGAATTATTAGTCTATTAACTAATAGCCTAAAACAGCTAACTGGCCTGAGACCGCAAATTAGTGAGCCTTAGGCAGCGAACTGGCGAGTCTGCCTATATTGTTGACACTTTCAGTATTTAATAATTATAACTTTAGTTATAATTAATTTAGAGCTATAAATATTTAATATCTATAATCTATATTTATAATATTTACTAATTAGTTATTTAGCTAATATAAAGCAGAAAAACTGTTATATAATTATAATAAAAAATATAATAAAAATAAATAATTTAAATATCTTAAGATATTAGTTATTTATACTAGTTTTTATTTTTATATATTTACTATCAAATATAGCCTGCTTATAAATTATAATATTCTAATTAATAAATTAAAATATAAATAAATATTTATTCTAAATTATAGCCAGCTGCTGATAGTATTATATTATATAAGAATATTTAAAAAATAAATAAATTATATTTTATTATTTTAATTAATAATTTATTTTTTTTAGCTAGATTAGCTTTATTATTTTTTATATCTAAATCTTATAAATTTCTAATAAAATAATTATTTAATTTTACTAAAGATTATTCAGAATTTATATATATTTTATTTATATCTAATTTAAAAATATATTCTTATAGATAAATTTATTACTAATCTATAAATTATAATAATATATTTAATTAAATAGTCTTATTTTTTATTTTTTAAGTAGAATATACTGGATATATTATCTTTAGTATATTAAAAAAAATATTTAATCTTATTTTCTTATTAGTATAATAAAATATAATTATTTTATTATTATTAAATTAAATTCTATTTTTAATATAATTTTTTATTTTTAAAAAAATAGCTATAAAAGATTTTTATAACTAATTTTTATATATTTTTTATTTTAAGATATTAATTATATTCTATTTTTTAATTATTTATAAATAATTATTACTAGAAATTTTATTAAATACTAGTCTTTAATAATATATATAAGTTATAATATAAAATATTATATATAATCAGAATATTTCTTCTTTTTTTATTATAGTCTTAAATATAAAATAAAAATATAGATAAAATAATAATTTTTTTTTATTATTTTTTTAAGAAATAGATATTATCAGGATTATAAAGTAAAGTTAAATTAATATTTATAATTAATATAGATAATATTTATAGATAGATATTAATTAATATTAATATTAAATAAGATCTAGTATATTATTTATAAAATATTAATTTTATATAAATAATAAATTATTATATTCTAGTCTTTTATTATTTTTATATAATTATATATTATTTCTGAGAATATTTTATATAAGAATTTTATTATTATTTAAGAAGTATAATTAAATAATCTCTAAAAATTATAATTAATATTTATTATATATCTATAAAATATTAGATAATATTTAGAAATTATAATTAATATTTATTATATATTTATAAAATATAGTTTTTATTTATAACTAATAAATATCTTCTATATCTAATTTATTTTATTATAGAACTATTTTTATTAAATTATAATTATATAATAGTTTCTAAATTATATTTAACTTTAATAATATTTATATATAATTATTTAATTTAAGTAAGATTATATTATTAATAATTATTATTATATATAAATAATAATAAATAATTATTTTATAATTATAAGTAACTATAATATAATCTAATTATAATCTAATTATTATTATAGATAATAGTTTAATAATTATTATAAAATAATCAGTGAGTGTGGCAAATTATTAAATATATATAAATAATAGTAAGCTATTATTTTTGACTTTTACTGAACTATGCTGTGACCCTCTCTACGCACGCCTCCGGGCCCCTATGTATCGGCTGCTGACTGCAGAAAACTTGATCACCTAATCTGCTTATTAATTTTCTTTGTAATAGACATTGGTTCTTTATAATCATGGATATATTCGCTTCTTAATTGTGAGTTTGACTTTGAACATAAGGATAGCCCAGAGAACTGCTGTTCATATCTGTAATGACCTCCAGATCCCCCTCCACTTAATCTTGGAACAGCATATGGCCAACAAGCCGCTCCGACATGTCCATCAAAGGTAGCGGGGAATTATTCGGGATCAGGCGAACAATGCGAGTTGGATCTTCTTGGAAGACATCCGACTGTATCATTGCTCGACTACTATGCATTGGACTGGTCAGAAAGACCTTGACAGTTGGACGGAGTGATTCCTCGGTCACAATCCGGTGCAGGTGGTCCATCACAATATGAAGGTCATGGGCAGTTCTGGAAGTATCAAAGCATGATATGGAATCAATAACCAAGCAGACGGTCACATGGTATGGAAACTGTGCCACTATAGAATGTAGCAGGTGGCATAGAGTCCACAGGTCATGTTCCTCCAGGTTTCGAACATGGTTAGAGCTTCTGATGAAACTCAGATTGGGTCGCTTCATCTCCATAAGCCTCATAAGCAGCTGCATTGCGATGAAGCGAACGAGTCCGTTGGGGCCGTGCCAAGGATCCTTGGAACGGAAATGATGGCCGCAGAAGTAGTGGGCGACCACATCTGCTGGACGAGCGTTGATCATACTGGTGATGAAGGTGGCGCTGAAGACCGAAATGGCAGATATCTTTGATATGCCTGGGTTGATGGCGTTCGCGTCTGCCATGATGAGATCGGATTCTGGGCACTGCAGCCATTGCAGGACCCTGTTGTCTGTGACAACTGCTGCCTGGACCTTTCTTTGACTCTCTTGACTTAACTTCCCCTTGTATGTCAATGCAAGCTGCAAGTCGGCGTTCGGTTGGCGTAGCATGTGGGCCAAATCCGACAGCTCGTGGTCATTGGAGCGTGATGCGAGAGTCAGGATTTCGAAGAGTTGGCTTTCATCGACGATGGCTCCGAAATTGGCCATGAGTCTTTGCTGCTGGCGAAGCATCTTGTTCTCTGCTTCTAGTCCTGTCGGGGCTCAGTGTCAACCAAAAACATTTGCTTTCCCTAGCACAGATAATCACTCACTTTTACTCTCACGCAGCAATCGGACCATGGTAGTTCGGGCAATAACCTGTAAATTCTCATCTCTCCTCGCAATCCTGCGCGTATTGGCAAGCGTCTCATTCAGCAGTGTGCATATATTCTGGTATCCCATCCTGTAGTCCTCGTCTCGGCTATCCTGCTTGCGATCCAGGTTCTGCAAGCGGTCATCCGTCCCACGTATGTCATCATGCATCACCGGCAGTGCTGTCGTGATCGACATAGCCATATACCCCGTGGCCTCGATCGTACTGTCTCGTACACGAGTGACAACATCCTCGAACTCCTCCGTCGACTTGGCCAGCTTTTCCAAAATCCCATCCGGATCGCTGGGAGGCGCCCTCTGTTTCCGCTTCGGGACATCCGCCAACTTCTCCCGCCACGAGGTCTTTTGCTTCGACGTCAACTTGATCAGTTCCTCGATACACTGGGTAATCGTCCGGGTAAGACTGTCCGCACACGCGCGGACATCCTTGTGGGCCCGGAAACTTCGCTTTTCTGGATCGGCTCGCGCCAGCGCATTTCGGATGGCGACAAACGTATCGAGGATCTTCTTCCGTCGTTCGGCGGACTTTTCGGCAAGCTGATGTCGTGGTTTGTGGGTTAGAAGAAAGGGATGGGAAGCGTTAAGGTTCGGGTCTTTCCGACCGCTGGAAAGGCGATGACGAACCTTGATCACCACGGCCAGTCCGGTCTTCACCACAGCCAGTCCGTATTCGTTGGGTATGAGGGCAAGCCAATTACTGACTACCTCTTGCCCATCGCCAACATGGTACCAGATCGAATGCCAGAACCCCTTTTTCTGACCCTTGTATCGGTCTTCGGCGCCTGCGAGCCGTTCGGAGAGCTTTTCGAGTTTGTCTGCATCGTTCGGAAATTCCAATCCCAAATCTAGCGGCAGGTAGTGCCGTAGACATGTCTCGAGGGATCTAAGTCGTCGCGATTAGTCCCTAGCTTTGGTCAGTCTTAAAGGCCTCTCGCTGACTCACGTGTGAAATTCCACGGGCATGAATCTATCATGCTGCACGCTGTACTGTGAAGAACCACCCAGTCCCGGATGAATCTCAGGACCCTCCGTGCTGATGAAGGCTGCAGCCGAAACGGTGTAGTCTTTCTGGTCGGAACTTCCCATAGACAAGGCCATGGTGAGAAACGCACTTGGGAATCTTTTAGATGCCGTGAAGCCCCTCCCTCTAGGTCGATGGGGGCCAGAGGCATGGGCGTGGGGCGATGACCAACCAGGCCAAGTGTCAGGCTCCCGGACCTCTTATTATATGACCCCTCTCACCCAATCTGTTCCTGCATGCTTTCAGACTTATCTTGCTCGACCGTAGCCTTTGTTTTAGTTCCTTAGCTTAAGGGCGCTGGTTCACGCTTATAGCTATACTTCGATGCGCCTGATTAACCGAAGAGCCCAGGTCTCTTGATCCACCGCGCGTAGAGGGGAGGAGGGGCAGAGAAGGGGGCATTGCCTGGCCTTGCTTATCCGCCTGTGGGGTGTGGCTCGTGATATCGACGACGTGGTGTGGACTGATTGGGGTGGATGCATATCTAGTTGGGCTGACTTGCATATCCTTCAGCTGAGCCGTCCCCACTTCGCGGCGCACATTCTAGGCCACAGTAGGCAACAATAGCTGGTGTCATTTGATGCCGCTGATTGAGCAATGCTGTTCGTCTGTGCATTTTGTTTGAATCATAAAATCCCAGGCCATTTCCCGCAGAAAACGCCGTTGGTCTTTGCCAAGCAGGACCAGGACATGAGTGTCCGTGGTATGCGACCGTGATATTTCGTCTGCCATAGAAGAGCTCTTCAATCGGGGTAGTGCCATCTTCTTGTTGTCTGTCTGTATCGCATTAAGAATGGAAGCTCCCAAAACAGGCAAGATGGCGGCCTTAGAAGAGCCCCTGAGCGATATTCTTGGAGATGCTTCGGACCAAGAAACCCTCCATTTCAGGATCATGGGGCCTCCTCAATTAGAGCCAGAGACGGAGGAGGCCATGACGAAACGGATGAAGATATGGGAGCATGGTCGCCAGAAGCTTCCTTGGAAGACGCAGGTTGACTTTCTCGACTACATTCACTTCAAAAACCGGTATTCACCGGACGATGGTCTGGCCATTATCGAGGTTCTGCTCGGCTATCAGGGCCTCTCGCAAGACATATGGCAAGAGACAAATCAACGCCGGATGCAATACTGGGGCATGCGAGTGCCACGAACTTCTTCGCGCTCCAGAGAGGACGACGACACCTGGATTCAGCGCGTGAGAATCCAGTCTCCTCAGCTTCTTCTCCTCCTCTCCCGATTGACGGGCCACGGTGATAAGTGGACTAACCTCGGACCTCGAACCTTCTATCGACCCTTTCTGCCGTTTCACTACTATCTTCCACAGATTAAGGAATGCCTGGAGATCCTGGAAACACATTGGTCTGCGGCCGACCAGCGAGGAGCACCCGATATTCCCATTCCTTCCTCGGTGGTGTCCAAATCCAACAGTAATCACAAAAAGTCCGAGGGCGAACTTGACCCCGACAATGACCCTTTCCGGCCGAGAAGTCCCGTCGAATCGGTTGTCGGGCCTATTGCGAACTCAGTCACCGCACTGCGTCATGTTCGCAAGTTCGTTGAATTCGTGGAGTCTGAGCTTGAGCCTCTTTGGAAGCGCGCGGCAGGGTCTACCCACCGTAAAGTCTCGTTTGCGGACCTGTGGATGACGTTCCAGCCTGGCGAGCTTGTCTACATTCCATCCGCGTCGGAGTCTTCTATGGGCCAGATCTGGCCTGAGCCAGCTAACCTGTCACAGAAGATCTGGAGACTTCATGTGATCGTACGCGATCCGTATCCAAGCACCGCGCAGTGCGACATTCCCATGAACTCCAGCCAGGAGCTGGATCTCTGGTGCTATTTTATCGATTTTAACGGCGTCTCTTACGAGCCCTTTACGAGACGATTCAGCATTAAGGCCTACACGGGTCAGAAAGATATCACATCGCTGCAGGTGTACCCCCTCCGCTTTCTGAAGGAGAGAGAAACGCTGCTTGATGCACATCGGGAGCTTGGCCGGTCTTTCCAGGCCGTTCTAGAACAGAAATACATGTACTACGAAGGCTGGACTCTCGCCCACGAGCCAACAACTTCGCAGCCGGCGAACGGAGGGGGATCCGAGCACGTGGACGGCCCAGTCATGATCGACTTTGTTGAAGCTCATAAATCCGACGAGGCACTTGCCGCCAAGTCGAACAGTACGCTCACCGGATGGGAATATTCGGCTTGGGATGACAGAGAGGACGAGTACATGATCAAGCATTGGGACGCGCAAGGAAACCAATTGCAGGGGGAAGTAACTGAAACATTGCAGACCAGAGAGATATTTGCCCCCACCTTCAGTGATCGAGACTTCGAAACGAACGACTTCCTACGAGCATTCAAGGGAGGCGAGGTCACCCAGCTTGGAACAGATGATTTGGTTCTTCTGCCTCGCCGCCTGGTCGGGTATACCTTTCACGAACGACGGTTTGTTCGGTTTGATGTGCAGTGGCTCAGGAAAATGACCAAGGCTGAGAATGTCTTCAAGGATCTCAAAATTGACGAAGAGCATAAGGGCATGGTTCGGGCGCTTGTGAAGGCGCACTTCCAGAACCGGAAGCTGAATTTGGACCTGATTCGGGGTAAAGGCTCTGGTCTTGTCATTCTTCTTCATGGGGTGCCTGGAGTGGGTAAAACAGCTACAGCTGAAGCTGTCGCACAGGCAAATAAGAAGCCCTTGTTTGCGATCACATGCGGTGATCTAGGCTTCAAGCCTGATACTGTCGAGTCCAATCTCAAGGAAATCTTCCGTTTGGCACATCTCTGGGATTGTGTGTTGCTACTGGATGAAGCTGATATCTTCCTAACCCGTCGGGATTTGAGCGACTTGAACCGGAACGCTCTGGTATCAGGTACGTAAAGTCTGCTCGAATGCTAAATGGTAACCTATCCTTCTTGCTCATACTCTTGGGACAGTCTTTCTCCGAGTTCTTGAATACTACAGTGGAGTGCTATTTCTCACCACCAATCGAGTCGGCATCCTCGACGAGGCCTTCAAGTCGCGAATTCACCTGAGCTTGCATTACAAGCACCTCAGCAGAGATCAAACACTAGCTATCTTCGAAAACAACATCCGCAGGTTACAAAGAGTAAGCGAGGAGACAAAACAACGCGCCATTGATTCGGGACTACCTTCGGGACCCACCTTAAAGATCGAAGAGGATGGCATCCTGCACTACGCCAAATGGCACTTCGAAAACAACCCGAACCATCGATGGAACGGCCGACAGATCCGCAACGCCTTTCAGATTGCGTATTCGCTTGCACACTTCAACGTGCAGTCCGGTGAGCCTGGCGGATGGGGTGAAATCATCGAAGATGACGACGATTCACCCTCAGATTCACCCAGTGACGAAGTTGACTCCGATCGTTCCCCGGCCCAGGACCGAGAGTATGTGTTGGACTTTCGTCAATTTCAGCTTATTGCGAAGACCATCCGGCGATTTGACAACTACCTACTGGAAACGACGGGGGAGACGGAAGCGGACCAGGCATTGCATATGACCCTCCGTGCTGACGACTACGACCCGGGCGAGTGGGAAGACGGCCCGGTCTATAGTCCCCATCCGCCGCGCCAACGGCAACGTCAAGGGCATAACTATTCCCAGCGTGGGTCGCACAGAGGAAAAGCGCAACCCAGAGGTGGAATGAGCCGACCAGGCCCCGGGCGGAATACCCAAAGACAACAGGAGTCGGTCCCTGAGTACGAGCCGCCGTCGCAGGAGTATTTTAGCAGCCAACGGGAAGCTCGACCTATACCGCGGTCGTCACAGGCAGGAAAGGGCCCGTCGGCACCCTCGCGATCTTCTGGTAGCCCATTGTACGCTGACCGGACTCGCACCACTGCAAGACGCGCTCCTGAGCAAAGGTCTCCTGGATTCAGAACAAACAGGTTTCCCCCCGAGAGAGAGCCTCCGGGTCATGAGGAATATCTTGATGGCGAGGAGTATGAAGACGACGCGTATAATCCAGAGGACGATGGATATATCTACGACGATGGATACTAGAAGGACTTATATATAGTGGGCCATTATGTTGTCTGATCTCTGGGCTGTCCAATGGCATGTGTTTCATGTCAGCTGGACAGCCCAAGAGTGGGGATAGTCAATGGGAAGGAGGATTGCTATTAGATACGTGGATAACCACTCAATCAGTGGATTTTCGGAACTTTTTCCATGTTTCAAGGATATATATGAAGCTATCAAAGTGCCACATTGTCTAGGTCTCTTGGCCCGAGTCACTATTAGAACGGTTCTTGACAAAGTAAATGCAGCTCTGCAGTGCAACCAGAGCCAGACCGCACAGGACCAGCATAATCATGATCAGCAACCCTCTAGGATAACTAAATACATGGTTAGCAGATGGCCCGTTGTCAATAGAGATTCACCACGCACAACTCTGCTGACTCGTCGCTGCGGAAAATCTGGGTACCAGCCATGAGGCCTGCAGTGGCGGACATGACAACTTTGAGAGGTCAGTATGGTAACTGCCCGACATAAAAGACCACTTACACATCCTAAGAGGCAATTCTTAGCTTAAACACCCAAAACAAAGGGTCACATAAACTTACGCGACACTAATACTCCGCTCACCCGGACTCCTGCAGTTGACCTGGATCCACGCATTATGGATGGGGTGGTACCCCACAGCAAAACCATTGACCGCTGTCCACAGGCCAACTCGACTCCACTTACCCACATGAGGCTGGACAGATCTCAAAATAACAAGCGGGATGAGATAGCATACAATTGCAAGCATGACAATGAGACCGCGCTTTCGGGTCTTATCGCTCAACCAAGCAAAAAATACAATAACTGGGAGTGTAATCAGACTTCCTACCGCAGCGAGAGTGTTTGCCTTTATCCTGGAGAATCCAAGTGACATGATGATGCTCGGGGTGTAAGTGGTGAGCGGACTCCATGTCGCAAAGACGCAAGCTGTGGCAAGGAAATGGGGCCATTTGTATATGTTTGTGAATGTCTTACATACAACATCGAGAGAGACAGTCTCGTTTGCTGTTTTGTTCCATGTCTCTGATTTAGAAACGCTTTCCTCGTCAGAGGAGATGCTCTGTTCGGGGGTTTCCTGTTTCCTTTCCGGGAGCAGGGAGATTAGTAGAATAGACACAACGACAGAACATATTCCTTCCACTAGATTACATCAGTATCAGCCATACGGTTGGGATTTCTCCAACACAGGTCAACTCACATAAAAAGATCCATTGCCAACCCGATAGTCCCCCCTTCCCATCCAACTTCAACAGCGCCGCGCCAAGAAGCGGAGACACGGCCGATCCTCCAAACATACCGAAGAAAAAGATGGCAATGCGTTTGGTCAACTCTTCCTTCGTGTACCAAGTTGACAAAGTGTACATGGCCGCAGGAATGTACCCGGCTTCTGCTAGACCGAGTATCGATCTTGTGAGGAGAAATCCTGTCCTATCTCGGACGAAAATCTGCAGGGAAGCGATGACCCCGAATATGAAGACCTGCGCACTAATCCAGTACCGTGGTCCGACCTGTCTTGATTAGCTCCGCTGTGACATTTTCGGAATATTAGAATGAATACCCGTTGGAGAACCATGTTTGACGGTATTTCCAAGACGATGACTCCCAGAAACATAAGCTGGTTTCCCAGATTGATTGTGTTTTGGTTCACCGAGATGGCGGATGCGAAACCTCCGGTCAGTGCACTGGCGATATTGGTCCGGTCTAATTGATAGACTGCAAAGCCCAGTACAAGGAGAGGGAGGACCCGGAAATCGGCCCTTGTGACGGTTAATCTTTGGTGTTGGCTATGAGGAGAATGCTGCACACTCACATGCGCCGGACGGGCGACGAATGTTTATGGTCTTGTTCATTGACATGATTGACAGGTCCAGATGTGAAGTTTGTTTGATTCCCCATTTTTTAATTCTCCTTAAGTTTAGCCTTACAGTTCATCAGGGAGACAAATGTTCTTTATGGTCATGCTGTGATCGAGGACCCTGTGGACGAACCTTTTGGGTGATAAGATAAGCAGGGACCCTGGGGCAAGAATACTTTGCCAGGAAATCAAAGTCATTAATTTGCTGGGAGTTGTGCGAAATGCAAATTGATTGGGGAGAATGGAGCAGTACTCCTTCAGGATAAATTATGGTTGCCGGGTTTGACAACCAACCCTACATGACCGACTCCATCTAAGTCCCCCATGTAAAGCAAACAACTATTCAACACATATTCTTGACACATATTGAACATTTACCCACACAAAACTTACATCTAGAGCATTGCTATGCAAGAAATCAGGTCCTTCTGACAACAAACTGCATCTTGAAGGCGGTATCGCCATTGTGGGCGTTTTTCCTCACATCCGCCCAGTCCTCGGCAATGACCTCAACCTCCCACTTTGTACCCGTTTCCTCGGAAATCTGATCCCACATCCTACGCCAAGAATCCAAGTTATGGCGGTAAAACCCGTGTCCCAATTCGCCGCCCGACTTCTCGCCAGCGTCCCAGTGACCAACGTGCCGTCCCACAATGAGTGAACCAGGCTGGGGCTTTAGTAGCTTGATGATCTGCTTTGCGAGGGCTACCTCGGTGGGCCAGTCGAAGAGGTGGAAGAACGAAGCCGCATTGATAATGTCGAGCTTACCTTTTAGCCTCTGGAGCAACTCGCACTTGTCGTCGAAAATATCACTGGTGATGAAAGAGCACTGGAGACTCGAGCGGTCCCTGAACAATTGGTATCCGAGGTCGATAAACTCGGTGTGAAGATCGGAGCCTTGGATGTTTCCCTGTGGCACGCCCTCGGAGACCTGCCATATATCGGGTGAGTATCCGCTCGGCGTTCATTTTATAACGGGGGAAACCATACGAGATACCGAATATCCTGCCCCATCGCACACCCCAGATCCAGGTACGAGTCAGTACCCTTCAACCGAGACAGTATCTCGGGGTATGCAGGGGAGTTGCAAATAGTGATATCCAAGAATCGGAACGACCCGATGCAGGGGTACGGAAACTGTTTTCGTTTTCAGCAAACGTGAGTTGAAGAGGAGCGATCTAGATGTAGCCATACCACTGCAAATGCTTGATCTCTCTGTTCCGTAATAATCAGCGTTATCCCATGTTGCTTGGCAAGTCCGAGTGTGCTTACCACTTGCTTTACATGTTCGATGATTTCCCCCTCTGGTATCTTACTGTAGTTTTCCAACAACGTGCGCGCTGGCTCCTGGACCTGCGTCAGGTTGTGCTCATACCAGCTGTAATTGGTGTTGAGACCGCCCTTGGAAGACTGCTCAGCTTGCGTGGTTGGTTCCGCCATTTTGATCTGCTGCAGGGATTAAAGTGGTTGATGCGGTTCAGGGATCTTTTTCCTCGGAAGGGAAGGGAAGGAATTGCGTGGTCTGACCCCGCGGCAGTGCGGGGCACTGGGTGCTGGGTGGCAACTGCCATTGGATCATCAGGATGTTCTGCTCGGAAGGGGCGGCATGGGTCTTAATTGTGCCAATTAAGCTATGATTCACGGGACAAAGAAGTGAATGGAAGGCTCTCTCTCTCTCTCTCTTTTCTTACAGCCCACCTTTGGAACACAATCCGTTGTCAACTTCCGGGCTCTGTCTTCAAAGGTTTTTCGAATTATATTCAGACTCCAACCGCTCGACTATCAGAGGAAATTGCGGCTTAAAACAAGCTTTTGACAGAACTTGGCGTTAAAATTGGTCGACCCACTGAGGTGTGTATCCCTTCCTGGTACAACTTCAACCCTCTAATGAATTTGTATACACTGCTGGGCCACCCTTGCAAGCCAAAGGAGACCCGTTTGGTCCCCGGTTCACCCTATCCAATCCAAATGGGTCAAATTGCGACCGAGCGGCGCGTAATGACTCTCATCCTGCAACAATATGCGACCTAGAATGAATATGAAAGAGTTTTGTTTCTGTTACCAGAAAAAGTATTATAGAATAGTGTACTGGTTCTGACCCTGGTTCTCCGAAGCCGCGGAGCCAACTCAAAAACGACCACGACCACATGAACCCTAAGTACTACCCAACGGAACCACCGTTGTCTCGGAATGCTTGAACGTCGTAATCCCTGTCCGGATTATCTTCAGTTGAGATAGACAATGCGGATCCGGGCATGCGATGACAGAGTCGGTTGTCATCCAGTCATGTTCGTGAGTCATTCGTTGCTTGCATGCTAAAAGAGGGAGGACGGAGGCTGTAAATATCCGAAGGGTACCCATCAATTTCCGCGTTCAAAGCGACAGTGAGGCTCAAGTCCAAGGTAGTCACCTTGAAAGAAATCGATTTTCAGTCGGAGTCCGACGCCATCGAGCGGGAAACAGCGACCGGTGAATATAAGCAGGAAGAAGGATTGGATCAACCTTGGTGGAAACGGTGCATTCATTGGGTTTGAAAATGCAGCTCATGGGACCGGAATACAGTGGGAATACAAATTTAATGTTTGAGATGCAATGTCTGGTCGTATATTGGGGTATTAACGTTTTATTTCTGTTTTTTTTTTTTGGGGGGGGGGGGGGGGGGGGAAGGTGCATTGCAAACCTGGAAATTGATATCGAGATAAGGTAAAAAATGACAAAAAAGAAAAAGAAATGACCAGACTGGGGCTCGATCCCAGGACCTTATCGGTGTTAACGATACGTGATAACCAACTACACCATCCGGCCAATTGGATGAAGTTTGCTACCTTTTAGTAATTCATTGATGAGCTTAACTGGTTGACATCGTCCGACCGGCACGAAACCATCAGGAGATATTCCTACAGGGCCATCAGAAGTGATCCTCAAGCTCTAGTCACTGCTTCAATATTGCATTAATAATCATAATTTCCAATAGCACAAAGGTTTGGCAAGTCTGAGTATACAGAAATACAATAAAATCATTCTCAACAGAGATCGTGTTTTATTAGTAAAATGGTGCTACCATATCCGTTATATATTCCCCCGGCAGAGTAAGTCGCACCAGATATCGAGTCCGAGTAGCTACTCGACGATCGGTATTTCCCCTAGAAACATGAATTAGAAGACTGAACTGATCCCCCGACGGGAATAAAACTAACGAAAATTATCTCCGCATCCCCGTAATGATCCGCCATATCAAATGCCGTGAACCCACTTCCCACGTACTTGGAGAACTGTTCGACGATCTTCGGCCTGGATGCGGTGCCCCAGGCCGGACTGGATAATTGCCACAGACCAGTGAGGATTCGAGGCAACTTGGGACCGCCATCTAACTGGAAAGTTTCTGACACGGGCGGGGGAGCCTGGGAAGGAACCTTGATACTTGTGGGAGGGGTGCTGTGCAGTGTAGGATCCAGAAGATCGATGGTCGCATCAAGGCCCCTTTCAAGTACAAAGTCTTACCCCTTTTCTACCCAAGCATCCCGACAAACTAGCAGTGAATGCAGGAGTGCATCCAGAGGCCCCCGTTCCTCCGCCGAGGGTTCCCTTACCCCGATTTCCACAAAGGGGGTCTTTTGAACAGCAGTAATGAATTGAACAATATCCCCATCTAGAGAAGCAATACGATCCAAGAAAGCCTGCTGATACGGACTACTCCGACCAGCCTGTAAAGTGATTGGTGCTATTTGGTCAACTATGCTCTGAAGAAGAGGTGGAACCTCAAAGCACATCCCGCACCCAATCATACAGCGGATTCTCCGTCGCATAACCTCGAACGATGGCGTGACTGTAGCAACATCACCTGCTTCTTGGTGTATTGTCACCTACTTCGAGCATTGCCACGCCGTCTCCGAGATGTAACTCCTTGTTTGCTCCTCAAAGGCGGAGGTAAAGCCAGGGTGGCTCGCCAGCATCCCGCGCATAACCATGCGCAATCCATCAAGGGGTAAGTTCCTGATGATAGTATCGGTCATCATATTGACGTGGGCCGTTTTGGCCCTTGTGGCTGTCATTGTTCAACTTGGACTCGTCTCGTGGAAAGTGTCCGATCGCGGATTCGGTGTCAGGTGTTATCGGAATAAGTGACGGAAATGAAGGGAGGGTCTCGTTATGTCAAGTAGAAGACAGAGCGGCATAGGCTCTGGGGAAGTCTAGCTTATGTGCTCGACCACTGAGCATCGGTAGCTCCTCGGTATTCTTCTGTAGACTCAGTTCTATCTACCCGCGTTCAATCCGTAGATAGACCTTGAATGTGGCCAAGTCGCCGGTGCGGGGAAAGCGCCTCAGATAAGGCCTGGGGTCTTGTGAGGACGCACCTCAATGCTTTCCCGTGTCCGGAGATCAGAATGTGGCTATAGGCTTCGCATCAAACCTGACAGATTAGCAGGGATCTTAACCCGGATATGTGTGTTTATGCATCCCTGGTTGAGTGAATCAAATAAGAATCCACTAAAGTAATGAATAGTTGGGGTTCTCGACAGGAGTGAATTAGGGTATGGTAGAATTGCTGCCGCAGGCGGGAATACACTTACGCTCACAACAAATCTTAAAAATAATGAATAAGTAACTCCAAAATGTCAATCTATCTATTAGTAAGAAACTCGAAAAGCCGACCTCCTCTTGCCCAAGGCTGACCACGATAATTAATCCAGATTCCGCTCTCTACTCCCCCGGCCATCGTTCGCGAAATCGAGACCTCAACCATTCAGACGATCAATGATGCAACTAAGGTTTTTGCTGGACAGTGTACCTCTCCAGGGTCTGGCTGTACCCTGCAGGCACAATTTCTGGAAACTGCTCTGCGAGATTACTCGGGTCGACGAACACATCAGTTGCTTCCATCGGGTCCTCGGGAGGCAGAAAGACAGCTTCATGAGCCAGGAGATGGATCCCATAATACAGACAGCCAAAACCAGGGACGGGGCATCGCTATGGTGCCTAATCTGAATACCCCAAACCAACCAAATGACGCTCCAGGTTTTCTGTTCGGGGACGATGATAGTTGGGCTGGTTCATTTGCTAGCACGGGGTTTAATATGAATGAGGGGATATTCTTTCAGCTGATCCGATGAGAATACCCATAGACAAAGTCGTGATACCCAAGCAAACTCATATGGATGGGCGACTATCTTGTTCAAGGCAGGTATCATTCATCAAATGCCATTGAATGTCATTTTTATGAGTCATATGTGAGAATTTAGTGGGACGGAGCAGAGCTTCGGACTCCGACAGTATTACTAGCAAGCATAAATTTATTAATTGGCCATCAATCATCCCGAGGCCATACCCCGCCCCTTTGCAACTAAATAAATACCCAGTTGGCCCCGTATAGACCTGTATTCCTACATCTAGCTCCACACATCCAACATGGCCGTTCTCTCGACTTGGGACACTGGCACCAGCTCAGGGCTCATTTCCATCGGCACCCATTCCTTATATCTGACCGCCGCGGGACCCTGTCGGGAGACCGTGAGCGGCCGTCTCCAACCGGCAGTGATCATTGAAGCCGGTCTGGGCAGCGGACACCTGGAATGGGTCGCGGTCAGCCGACTGATATCAGAGCGCGCCCGCGTGTACACCTACGATCGAGCAGGCTACGGACGAAGCCAACCCTCCCCCGTCAAGGAACTGAATGCCCAGAACCGTGTCAATGAATTGCACCAGCTACTGGGAATGGCGGGCATCGATCCACCATACGTGCTCGTCGGCCATTCCTACGGAGGAACCCTTGTCCGGGAATTTCTGCGCCAGCATAGAGAAGATATCGTCGGGATGGTGCTTGTGGATGCACCACGGACGCCGACCCCTTTACCTCCTGGATTCGGTTCTCTGTTCGGAGACTCTACATACGGTGCGATCGTGGGGCTGAATGAGAACCACGTTTTCTCGCCGGAGGAGTACGCGGCTATCAACGAAGACGAGGATCGGAATTCGGCGACCGCGGAGATTGAGCTGAGCTTTATCCCGGAGAGTGTGGAACTGGTTAATCGGGCCTTACCGGAGGGGTTCCAGGCGATGGGTGATGATCGGTTGAGTGTGATATTTGCGAATGAGACGGTGGATTTTGGGAAGATCTATGGCTTTGCCGTGGAACATGGGGTGGGAACGCAGGAAGCAAAGGATGGTCTGGCGGTGCGATTGAAGAATATGGAGCAGGGAGCTGAGAGGGATCAAAGAATGTATCTGGGGTTGTCGAGTCAGAGTCGATTCGTATATGCCCGGGGAAAGGCGATGACGCATAATATGCAGTATGTCGCGCCGGAGGTCATTCGGGACGAGGTGTTCTGGGTGCTAGGGTTGACGGAATGATTCAATTTTATTATACATACATATGTGTTTATCTGAATCGAAGGATAATAGCCACCGTGGATGACTGGGATGTGTCTCCGCATTGGGGAAATTGGAGACGGAGGGCGCATCACCGGCCCATCCAACCACCATCCACCAAAATGCTCTCTCCAGAGATATAATTGCTCGCCGGGCTAGCCAGAAAGACTGCTATCCCTTTGAAGTCCTCCGGATTTCCCCATCGACCCGCGGGGATTCGTTCCGTGATGGACCGGAAATAGTCCGCCCGTTGCGGATCTGTGCGTGTATCCAGGTTCATGTCGGTCGCGATATACCTATGGTCCAGATCAGCGAATCTACGCGTTTCCATGAATGAGGTTCGGCATACCCCGGTGCAATAGCATTCACGTTGATGCCCTTGCCCGCCCACTCGTTGCTGAACGCCTTGGTCAACTGCAGGACACCCCCTTTGCTTCCCGCATACCCGGCCATATTCACTCCACCCTGGAAGCTCGCAAGACTGGCTAGGTTAATTATCCGCCCCGGCTGACCGATAGATAGCCAATGACGACCTATATCACGGCACAAAATGAAAGGAGCTGTCAGGTTGGTCTGCATCACGGCATCGTAGGTCTCCAGGTCATAATTGGCGGCCTCGCGCCGTTGCTGGATTCCGGCACCGTTGACGAGGATATCGACCTTGTGGGTGGCCACAACCCGAGAGATGAGTGTCTCTACCTGGGCACGATCCGCTAGATCGCACTCAACGATATGGCATTGTCGACCGAGGCCTTCGACGGCGGACTGGGTGTCGGATGGCTTGGAGCTGCGCTGACAGAGGATGATGTCTGCGCCGTGCTCGGCGAGGCCCAGCACGATGGCCTGGCCAATGCCTCGTGTGCCACCGGTGACGAGGGCGGTTTTGCCGGAGAGGGAGAAGAGAGACATGTTTTTGGTCAATTGGGACTGGTAGGGAGGGTCAAATGTTAGGGAAGGAAGGGACCGTCAGATATAAGATCATAAGACGACTTTTTTTTTTTTTCTTTCTATTTATTACCCCGCGATCCTTCGCGTCGACGTCATGAGATAACGATCCACAGCCACGAGGAACAAATAATAAGCACGGCTTCCGACGGGGGCCGGGATCGCCGAGATCGCCGAGATCGGTCAATGTATATTTATTTATCCACAGCCTGCTCAGCCGGGATGGTCTCATGGATTTGGAGGGCAGACTGAGTGAGTGAGAGGAACGAGGTGGGAGTGCGGTAACGGATCTCTTAGACAACGATTCAGAACAGATCCATGCCAGACAATGACTTTCCTGAAATACCGTCCAGAATAAGAGCCGTATAGGCCCATACATTGAGCTAGTGCTCATTACACCATACCCATGCGGTACATCATAAATGATACAAAGTCACAGACGCATTTCGTTGCTGGCAAAAGAAAAATTTACCGAAAATTAGCACAGTAAAAGAATTTCCTTCGTACACAGCCTATACGTGTGGGAGAGGTAAAAGACATGTGCCGTCCCAGGTTAAAGGATGTGCTCGATTCCTAGTCTACCTCATTGTCATTGTTGTTCAACATCAGGAATATCCCTCGACCGCAGCCAACGGTATCGTGGTAACCTCTGTGTTTGAATACTAGTCTCCTTCGCACTAGTCTTCTCTCGGATGCTCTGCTTGGTAGATGAAGGAGTGCTGGTTGATTCGGATGATTCGGAAGAGGAGGCCAGCGATGTTTGTCGATGATGCAATTTCTTTTCTTTCTCCTTGAAGATTTTCCATTGACGAAATGCCTCCATGACCCAGCTGGCATTGAAGGCAAAGCTGATAAAAATCGCCGATACGGCGAACGACACCCCGACTATATTCTAGTGAGTACTCGAAATGAAATCACGCTTTGGAAGAAGTGGCCACCCACATATAATCGGAAATATCCACCATCCTTGATATGTAACCGTGCCAGATTGATGCGGAAAATCAGTAACATTCAGCGCAAATACACTGGTCAGAAAAGACATGGGCGTCTGCATAAAGATAGTAAGATTTGATATCCACGATCGCGAATTGATTTGGGGGGGCATACAAAGATGATTGTCACTATAGTGAAGACCATGATAGTATCGTTTTGCTTCGATGAATGTTTGGTCTGTTCACCTGCTTCCTTTGCTTCGGAGATGTTTGCTTGCTTCTGTTTCAAGTCCAACAAGACGTCGATGGCCCGCTGGACATCGGCCGCCTCTTTTGCCATTTCCACAATTTCTACTTTGAGATAATTGGGCTGGTCATTTGCAGCTCCACCTTTAAAGGCTTGCTTCCAGACCTCTGATTGATCCTCAACTAGACTCTTGAGGATGTATAGTTCGTCTCGAATATCTTTGACTTCGCGTAGGAGCTTTATTTCACGAGTAATATCATGAAACGGAGTTTTACTCTGATCACTCTCTTGAGATTGACCTGGTGTTTTGTTTGCGGGTTGACTATATGTTGACCGATGGTCACCTTCCAGGGATGGGAAGGAGGGGTCCCCCCCTTTCTCTTCAGTCGTCTCCGCAGTACCTGTTAGGTATTGCTCAAATTGCTTGAACAGGGTGGCTTCTTGGTTGGCCTGTCCATGATTTAGAAATGGAGGATCTTCAGAGAAGATATGGTAACATACCACGTTCCTGATAGACTCTTGAAATATCTCTAAAGCCGATCTTGTTTTGGTTTGGCTTGTTTGGACCTTATTGTCTGGTAGAAACCCCGTGGTAGTCTTGACAACTAACTCCAGCATAAGATCGACCGATTTCGGCCGAGCTTGACCTTTCATTCTGCCGTCTACCAACTCTCCGAGAATTTCCTGTAGCACCATGTCGTCGACCTGGTGGCCTTGCTTTGTTGTACTCGTGATAATAGTTTCTTAGAAGTTAATTGAAAACTGCCAATATGTTTAGTGGTAGAAAAGAACTTACTTTCATCAACAATCCAAAGCCATAACTGGTCGACCATTAACCTCTGGATAGAAATGTCTTCTTTGCTTTTGATTGCGGAACTCGAAACTTCAGCTGGGGCCAATCCAAGCTTGCTGTTTGCAGCAGCCTCTTTACTGCACTTTTGTGTACCTTCTCCCTTCATATAGCGTGAGACCACCTGATCAAAATCTCGCTCATGATTCTCTTCTAAAGAAGCATAATAGTACTGATCGAGCGTCATCGACGAATGAAGGACTTGCTTGTTTTGCTGTCTAGTGCTGTCGCCCGAGGATCTGAGTGAAGAATGGTTCGCATTAGATAGCATCTGATGAGCTTCATGACCCTTTGGACTCTCTCGCTCTAGTTGCTCAGTATCTCGGCGGCTTAAGCAAGGTTCCTTCTTCTCGGACTCGGGTTGCATGGGAGCCCACGATATGTACGGCATCTGTTGGGATCAATCAGCAAGAGGAGGACAACTATTGAATAGCATGACAAACATAAAGAGCAATATCTCTTCTTTTTCCATCTGCAATACGGCGATTGCTTTTTTTTGTTTCATTATTAGTGTCAGATCCTGTCGGTTTGCTCTCGGGGTGAGCCGCATTTTTTTCCTTCGCTTGTCCTTCCGTGCCGTCATTCGGAGGGTTGCTTTTTGCGTTCCTATCAGCCGTGGTCGATGCATTCGGTGATGATCTAGTCTTCAGCAAACTTGAACATTAGCCATTGTACAAAGAACTAATTGGGAGGAAAGCTTACAAGGCATTGTGGCTTCATGTACATCTTTTGCCCTCCTGCCGGGATTTGAGTCCAGCTTCTACGGACAAACTCAGCCAAGGGACGGTGGTCCCGGCTCTGCCTCTCTGCATCGATGGAAATTCGCGTCATAAGTTCCTAGTAGAGTCCGTGAGTGTTCTGGTCCGACTACAGAGTCTCTCCACTATCCGATCTTTATCCATACCTCAATGAGATGCATCTGGCATTGGGCAATCAGCACGACATTCTCCAGAGCGGAATCTGACTTTATACTTACATCATTCATGGGAATATGGAGCCAGCGGAAGAGAAAAACGTCTGACTCTCCACTCGGGACATCTGGAACAGTGTTGTCGGGCTTGGTTGGCGGGCTCTTCTTGGATACTGGGTCGGTCTGTGTCATCTGCTTGGTGGACCTTGACCTCATTTTAGGCATATCGTCTTTTATATTTCCTGCAATTGCTGATGCCGTGGTTCCTTTACGAAGTTGATCTTTGAGTAGGCCCAATTGACGGAAGTCTGAGTTTCTGACATCATGCATAATTCTCTGGGGCCCCCTTCCATATACGACATCATCCAAGCTGCTTTGGCCGTAATAAAAGTCGACATCCTTTCCTTTCTGATAAAAGTCAATGATGGTGCCGTATAACCCATCCTCAAAAGGGAAGAGTCGCTGGAATCTTGGGGGTTCTTCATCGTCGCGTATGATAGACCTTTCCAATATGGGTGGCGGTGCGTGGAGAAGCTTGATGATCAATTCATTGGCGTTTATGTCATCGTCCTTGACAAGTGAATCCCGTTGCTTTGTCGCAATATCAAGTCCACGCTGGATTTCCTGCTTTTTCAAATGGTCTCCATTCGAGAGTAACCACCATACCACGACTGTTAATCTGCCATGGACAGCCATCTGTAGTGATGTCCATTTGTCACTGTCGCTGGAGACTCCAAAACCTCCAGTCTTTATCTTTAACAAGTCCATTAAAGGCTTTTCCTGTCCACGCTTCTCAAATTGCGCTATCAATTCTAACGCATCGAGTTGAAGCTCTTCATGCTCGTCGCTCGGGTGAGACTCAAGAACAATTTTCATTGCTGATTGAAGCTCGCGCCACAACACTTTTTGAACATCCTTGTAATTCCCAAATTGAGCCCGTTCACTTTTTATTGCAATCGACATAGGTGTGTCACCCTCGTCGGTTGTCATTACGATTGCCCTTATTTTCTCAAGGTCTCTGAAGAGCGTGTCATTTGTAGGGGTGTCTTCAGACATTTTAGACCCATCACCATTCTGCTTCTGGAAGAACTGCCCTTCAGAATTGGGATTAAGAGAGTTGATCAAAGCTTCCACTGCCTTATCATGCCCGTTGTTTGCCGCTAAATGAAGAGCTGTGAAGCCATCTTCAGCGGTTGCTTTAAGGTCAAATCCCTGCCTCAGTAGGTCGGATATCATGAGTGAACATCCGCCTATGGCCGCAACGTGTAGCCAGGTGGCCTTTCCCTTCCTCCACTTGGACGAAAGCTGCTCTCCCATCCGAATACACTCTTTCACTAAGTCCTGCTCCCCATTCAACATTGCCCAGTACAACACTTTTTCAAGATTCTCTTGAACCTCGATATCGGTCTCGCTCAAGCGTGACGTGAAGAATTCTGTCACTTTCTTTGCCTCTTCGGGTGAAGTCTGGGAGATTTTGGCTTTTGCAGGGCACTCGGGAAGATATGTATTGGTCTGCAGTAACTGCAAGACACAACTTGGGGATCCTTTATCGACCGCAATCGCCAATGCCGTGTTACCTGCCATGTTTCTGATCAGAAGGTCAGTCCTTCCATCAGATACTAGCAGGTCAACAATAGGCTCATTGCCTTTTTCTACCGCGTATTGAAGAGGTGTACACCCGTCTTGCCCATTAGGGATATTCCAGTCGTAGTCAACCCCTGGAGCCAAGAAGTGCTGAACGCACTTTTGGTGCTCAAACCAGACAGCAAGATGACACGCGGTATCGCCACCGTTGTTTTTCACTTTTACATCTGATTGACTTTCCAAGAGCAACTGGACAATCTTTTCATGTCCGCCTTGGCAAGCAAGGTGAAGAGGGGTACATAAGTTATTCGCAGTTGCATTGAAATCGGCGCAGTTTTCCAGAAGCAACTGGACAATTTGCTCTTGTCCATACCAAGAAGCCAGGTGAAGAGGAGTCCATCCATCTTCATCCTTAAGATCGATATAATCTTTATTGGCTTCGAGGAGCAATATAGCCACTAGCTTCTGGCCAAAACTTGCTGCTATATGAAGTGGAGTCGCCCCATCGTTTTTTCTGGCGTCTGGACGAACACCGCGAGTCAACAGAAGACGTACAGTCTCGGTGTGCCCCTCTTGACTTGCCAGGTGGAGCGCGGTCGATCCATAGCTTGTTGTTCTGGCTAAAATGTCGGCCCTGTGGTCGAGCAGCGTTTCGACGATTTTCAGGCGTCCTGCATTGGCCGCAAGAAGAAGAGGGGTCAGACCCGTAGTAGCATCCTCACCACCGGGAAGGATAATATCGAACCGAGACTCTAACGTTCCTTCATCGAGAAGTTTTGTGACAAGCTCTTCGGCCTTTTGTGTATCTTCGGTTTCAACTGCTTCCTTCCAGCGTGATCCATAATCTGTCTTTTTGGTTTCTTGGGAAGCGGTCATGGGCTGACCAAGGGCAGAATCTTCTTCTTCATTGATCTCGGTGGGCTGAGGTTCTGTCGATTGTTTCTTCACGTCAGGAGGCTCTGTCTGCCCCATTGAATCATTTGAGACTCGACTGGCGGCAATTGGCTCCATGTGCTGATCTTGAACGGCTCCGGGATTGGCCGTCGGAGTTTGATCTGTCGCATCTGACATGGTAGTCGTGCATGTAAGACGCCCAAGGTCCGTACGACACACTCTTCCTTTGGGTTGCCGGTACTTCGATGAATGAAGGTATAGAGTCTCAAATCCTGAGAAGGAAGTGCTTTCCAGTCAGGTAAATGTGGGGGGTAAAAAAGAAGTATTTCGCATATAAGAAAACAGCGCAGGCTGCTGGGGTAAGATTGCGATTCATGGCCAATCGATGAGAGCCACAAAGCCTTCCTTGCAGTCCATTTTGGCAGGGGTGCATTTCCACGCATGCAGCTTGGACGGCGATTCTCGGGCAGGCTAGCGTGGAGACTAATATGATACCCCTCTTCTGAATAGATATCACGCTGCGAGAACCCTCTAGGTTCCCATCATACAAGAGCACCAAATCCCTGATATGATGACATCCTACTCCGTAAGGCGAGACTATATGTATTTACAACATTCATACAGGCATAAACCACCTAGTCTTCGAAAAGGGCACTCCAACCTGGTTCGGTGGCGATGCATACTCTTCGCAACTGTAGAGCCTTGTGTGTATTTCTAATACCCAATAAGCGGGCGCGCTGCAAGATAGCAAACTTGGGGCTGAGAAATGGTTGGCGGAGGACTTGACTCCGGGGACATCGGACTTCAGTGGGCCAGCACCAATATTCGGCCTTAAATCCCTATCATGTTGCTCATGGCGGAGTGTCGCAGTAAAGCCTCGAGGAGTTCATCCCATGCCAATCAAGTACGGCCCAGACTGTAGATAGACGATAGTCGTACATCACTGCCACTGCTAGTAGATGTTCCTCGAAGTAGATGACATGGGCAGAATAATGTGGAATTATCACACGGCAGCAGCCGGGCACACTGAGGCGCTTTCAGCTGTTTCAGCTGATAAGACCCACGCATGCAGTTCATCCTATGGGATTGCCCTCATAGGCGCCGATGAGCCTTCGGGCTTTGAGAACGCGAGATCCCCGCAGGTCCTGTATAATAAACCAAGACCATTCCTTCAAACTTGGTCAGATGGATACAAACGCCGGTGAATTTCAAAGTTGACTTACATGACATGTGATTCCCAGGCAAAAGGCTCCCTTCTTTCCTCGCCCTCACCTTCATATACCTACCTGGCTTCGATTCGGAGCTCCATATAATTATTTTCCCTCATTTTGCCTGTTGAGTCTGCGATAGATTGTCCCAAGGGCCGAAACCAGCTAGGCGGAAGCGTAAATTCTGAATTTCTTGAATGTTCTTGCCGTTCGAAGAGCCAAACATTGCGACTTGAGATGTCTCATGTCTCCCAAAGCCGCGTCACATTTTACGGGCGCATAGAATTGCCTATCCTCGGCTTCATCACCCGAGACTCTTTTGTGTGGAAGACAAAAAGAATGCACCCTGGGTTACATTGTGTCGGGATAAATCATTATTTTCCAGAGACAGAGCACTACATGCTCAGTGCTTGTCAGTTACTCTCTAACCTCTTTCACACGAGTGAATTTCCTTGGCTTCGAGCGAACAGTCTATCTACTAGTAGAATACTCTAACCCATGTGGTATCTTCTTAGGCTAGTCCAGGTCATTTACTGAGAAAGTCTTTGTTCTCCGATCGTGCCCTAATGCCCTCGGAGGAACGACTCGCCAAGACATACAACGTGACCCCATGAGTGCTTTTACGCGGCCGGGTGAATATTTGATTTCGATATTGTCCTTTCCCGACATCGAACGAGGGATCTTGTAGAAGATTCCGGATGAGACAATGGACATTTGTTTTGTCGGTCTTCGGCGGGGCGAGGAATGAAAAACTAGGTCATGTCCCTCTGTCCGGACGGAGATATCGCACTCTACCGATCCCCAACTCATGGCCGCCTCTATAATGCTTCATAGCACACACCAATGCAGGAGTAATACCCTGAACTCGGTTCGCAAAGGATAATCAACAATGAGTGGGCCCGGCTCATTGAGGGACATTGGGCCTAGCAGGAGTTCTCCTCTTGCATCGATGGTTATCTGTCAAAAAATACTTTATTCAAGGCCGGTCAAAGCAAACTTGAGATTTGTCAGACATCACTATTATGCATAATCGACGCATAACAGTCTCTTAGACTGCAGCGGCTGGAGCAATAGTCGAGACGGGTGAGCAACCACAGGCAGTAAAACATTCGAATCCTAAATAAGTGTGGAGGCACTTACTAGTCTTAAATAACGCTAGCATCGGGCACTCTGGAAGACGCTTAATCAGTGATGGTGCGGCAGTTGGTCTCAGATTGCACGAACCAGCAAGGCTAGACTGACCAGCCCCCAGTGGCAATTGGCCCTACCTCCTGGACGTCCGACACGCGAGGAACCATCTCACTTGTCCTATCACCATCCCGTACTCAGTGCGGAAAGAATTTACCACGTGCATATCTCTACACGTGAAGGTCTCAGACAATAGATTAATATCGTACAGTGTCACTTCGAGGCTATTTGGCAGTTTAACATTCCGTTCCCTGATAGTATGCTCCTGAAGCTGAAGGCTTGTCAAACTCATTTAACATACATCCACTGGGTTGAAGAAGCGAAGGAATATATCCCCTTCGCTCAAGCAGAATACAGACAAGCCACTGCACAGCCACCACTGACTCTGCGCACGGGGAAGGAAGAAGCTTTTGATAAGCTTCGCCTGCGCTAATTAAGACATGCCAAATTAACGGAATCCCAACCGCCGACCTCCGACCTCCGGCAACTGTCACGAACTGGCCAGGGTCTTCAGACTCGTTTTGAGGCTAAATGGCTGCAAAACTCAATCAGATTAATTAATCTAGAATTTCTCCTTCCACACTAGCGCATGACTCTAGCCTGGATCTGGACGGGGGCGATTGGATCCAGCGTCTTCCCCTTGTGCTACGGGAAAGAGGCCATCGCATCTTTCATCTCTAAAACGGAAAGCTTGGTGTCGATTGTCAATATAATCCAAGACATGGAACTGGCGACTATCTCCCATGAAGGGTATGTTTCTGCTGAAAGGGGCTTCAGGTCCAGCCAAGACTCAGCTGAGGAATCTTCACTGATGAGTATAAGAAGCAGGTAAAATCCTCAAGCAGTGTCAACATTCATCTCATCACTCACTTTCAGATTTCCCTATTACCTACTAGATACTCTCATTGTCATTAACTATCCCCAACCATGCACTCTTTTGCTCCAATCCTTGCCTACGGCCTGACGGTCGGGGCTAGCCTCATCTCAGCTTCCCCCATTGAAGCTCGTGGCAGTTGCACATTCACCACTGCTGCCGCTGCGAAGGCCGGAAAGGCTTCCTGCTCAACCATTGTTCTGGACAACATTGAAGTTCCCGCCGGAACGACCCTCGACTTGACCGATCTCACCAGCGGCACCCATGTCACTTTCGAGGGAACCACCACTTTCGGATACGAGGAGTGGGCCGGACCCCTTATCTCGATGAGCGGAAAGGACATTACCGTTACCGGTGCTTCCGGACATCTCATCAACTGCGATGGCTCTCGCTGGTGGGATGGCAAGGGAACCGACGGAAAAAAGAAGCCCAAGTTTTTCTACGCTCATGGTCTTGACTCCTCGTCCATCACCGGACTTTCGGTCAAGAACACCCCCCTGATGGCCTTCAGCGTCGAGTCGAATGATATCACACTCACTGACATTACCATCAACAATGCCGATGGTGACACCCTCGGCGGCCACAACACCGACGGCTTTGACGTCGGCAACTCTGTCGGCGTGAACATCATCAACCCTACCGTCCATAACCAGGATGACTGTCTTGCGATCAACTCAGGCGAGGTAGGGAACCGAAGTATCTTAACTTAAGCAGTGCTGACACACTCCAGAACATCTGGTTCACCGGCGGTACCTGCATCGGTGGCCACGGTCTGTCCATCGGTTCGGTCGGAGACCGCTCCGACAACGTGGTCAAGAACGTCACCATCGAACACTCGACCGTGAGCGATTCCGAAAATGCCGTCCGTATCAAGACCATCTCCGGCGCCACCGGCTCCGTCTCCGAGATCACCTACTCCAACATCGTCATGTCCGGTATCACCGACTACGGTGTTGTCATCCAGCAGGACTATGAGAATGGCAAGCCCACCGGTACCCCGACCAATGGTGTGACCATCTCCGACGTTACCCTCAAGAGTGTGACCGGTAGTGTGGCCAGTGGTGCGACTGAGATCTACCTCCTGTGTGGTAGCGGTAGCTGCACTGACTGGACTTGGGATGATGTTAAGGTTACCGGTGGTAAGACGTCTAGCAAGTGCAAGAACTATCCTTCTGTTGCTTCTTGCTAGGTTGCATATCAAAAGGCAGAGTAGACAGGTAATCCTGTCTCTTGGGTACCCATCCTTAATTGTAATAGTATATATATATAGTTTAATAGTTTGTTGTTGAATGCTTGAGGGTGGCTACTGAGCACAAATCACATAATTGGAATGCTGTTCTCACCTCGCGGCCGTCGCATTCCTTTCCATGCCATGACTTTAAAACATCTTAATGTCTTAATAGACTACCATGTCCGATGTCGAATATATGTCAAGCAGAGACTCGGTCCTCGTCACCTGTTCTGGTTTCACCAATGATGGAGGTACCCGATGACGAAGTACTACGGACCAGTCGCTCAGCCAGATCCTTTCTCCTCGCTGGATCCGGGAGAAACATATATTATCTTCTGCCATGGCTGATTTTTGTAGCGTATTGCAGTACATACATCATAGCGAGGTTATTTATTCTGGTGGAGATGTTCCGCACGCTGATCAATTTGCCCCCGGGCGCATATATCGAGACCTGGACGCCATATTTTGGTTGAATCTGCTTGGTCCCGAGGATAGCCGTGTCTAATAAGCCACGTTCTCATGAGTCTGCCTCGCAATGTGCACTAAAAATAAGCCCGATGTTGCGACTAATTCTCATGTTCATCCCGTCCGGAGTCTCCGCGGACCCTCCGGGCCGTCCGGGGCCTGCGCTACACGCACCATCCAAACCATCTTTAAAACTAAACAACAACCCACCACCTATTGCTCTCTCCATCATCATCACAAACACCATCACGAACACCATCATCTCCATTTGACTATCAATCCCGACATTCACCCAATAAAAAAAACCCTTTTTGAAAAAGAAAACAAAATGTCATCCCGACCCACCGTCCTACTCATCGGCTGCGGCGTCGCCGGCCCCGTGCTCGCGCTCCTCCTCAAACAAAAAGGCTACCACCCGATCGTGTTCGAGAAAGTGGCAGCCCTAGGTGACGCCGGTGCATCGCTGATGCTGAACCCGAATGGGTACACACCCTCCTCTCCTTACTCTCCCAGTCAAACAAGTCAATGTAATTTCTCTAACCCTCAACAGACTGAAAGTCCTCTCCCTCGTCAACGGGATCCCAAGCCTCGAGCACCCCATCACCACCTTCTGGCACGGCACCCCCTCTGGCACCACTCTAGTCACCTCCGACCTGCCCCGGAGCTATCCCACCCGCTACGGCCACTCCGCCCGGGGCGTCAAGCGCACGGCCCTGAACCTGCACCTGAAACAGCTCCTCCTCGACGCGGGCATCGAACTCCGCGAGGGATGGCAACTCAATTCCATCACCGAGAACACCGACTCCGTCACCGCTGGATTCACCAACGACCAGACCGCCACAGGGACATTCCTGATCGGATCCGACGGGATCAAAGCCGCCTCGCGGCGTCTCATCCTCCAGAAGGAGAACCCGGCAACGGGAGAGGGAGAAGGCCCCCCCACTTTCACCGGGTTGATCCAGGTAGCTGGTATCTCCAGAACCACACGCGAGAGCCCTCGCGGTCGAATGGGCAATTATTACGGCGAGGGAGTCCACGTCATCGTGTATCCGGTTTCCGCATCGGAGGTGTCGTGGGCCGTTACCATGTCGCAGGACAAGGAGATGGCCGAGTCGTGGCAGTCGGAGGGAGCGGAGGGGTTACAGGCGCGGAAGAAGATGTTGGAGGAGAAGTTGGCCGGTTTTGAAGACACTGTGTTGGAACTTGTGCGCGATGCGGACCGCATCATCTCGTTTGGCCTGTTCGATCGACAGGAGCTCGAGGCGGAGCAGTGGTTCTCGAAGCGCTGTGTGTTGGTCGGTGATGCGGCGCATCCGACCAGTCCGCATCTGGGACAGGGGGCGAATCAGGCTTTGTGAGTATTTCTATTCTGGGCGGAGTGGTTTGGAGATAGGGCTAATGTTGTTGGTATAGAGAGGACTGCTATCATCTCAGTCGTTTGCTTCCCAATGTGGACGGTGACAGTGCAGATTATTCGCTGGCGGAGACGGGCCTGAAGGCTGTATTTAGCGAGTTCGCGCGGCTTCGACAGCCCCGGACCTCGGCGTTGGTGAAAGAGGCTCGTCGGCTGGGACATGAACAGCGCGTGGTTTTCGGGGCGGAACGCTGTCGAGAGCGCGATGCCCGCCTTGTGGCTGCTTGGAGTGATCCGGAGAAGGTCTTCGAGGGGATGGATCGGTTGCTGAAAGAGCCATTCTAGGCTTTGTTCGGTCTGTTTTGGTGTTTCCGCGGAGGGCACGCAGGTGGCATCTGGTTGTAAATAAAAGGATACGATGAGCACATAGAGGTTTTGGTTCAGAGTGGTCATGTATAGCGATCTATTTGTCTATGAATTTTATATGTAATGGATTGAAGCAAACTCGCAATTCGCTACGAATATCACGTAAGGATAGACTGATCCCGGCTCTCGTATGCGTCAGACGATTTCTCGTCATCCCACTCATCCAACCACGCGCCCACAAACCTCACAACTTTCTTCTGCACGCTTATAATCTCATCCGGGGGCTTCTGGCCGTCCTCAATTTCCTGCTCCGACAGTCCATTCTGATCCCAATGGTGCACGGCACCCCGCACATTATCCCACACATCTGCCGCGGGGACATCCACCAGAATGACCGGTTCACTGTTCGTCGAATCCCGATCCTTCCAGTCCACACCATCCGCTAGGGGTGTCGCATCGCGCCACGGATCCGCGAGTCCGCCGATAATGGCAACCCTGGGGTAGGAGAAGTTGAAACCGCCGTATTGATTGATCCGATCCACATCCGGCGCGGTGGGGATTCCGAACTGGTTCGCGCAGAACGAGGACAGATATGGCAAGTCGAGGAGACGCGAAATGAGTGGTTTGATTGTCGATGGGACGGATGAGCCCGTGGTGAAGTAGCCCCATTCAACGCAGACTTGGTAGCCCCAGCTAGTGCCAGAATCTTTGTTGAGGGGTTGTGGGGAGGTAAAATTACCCGCGGAAGATGAGGACTCCGTAGATGGTGTGCCAGCGTACACACCCGAGATGTTGAAAAAGCCGATCCAGTTCAGGAAGCTGGTGACGAGAGTTGTGTTTGAAGGGTTGTAGCCTGCTGCTTGGATCAATTCTTTCACAGGCGCGGAGATTTTCTCGGCGGTGTCGGGGTATAGAACGCGCGAGTCAGTGATATTGTTGCAAAAGCTGCGGAACAGGGGGGTTCCAACGGCCTTGTCCCAGTTGCGGGACTGGAATGAATCAAGCCCATAAGAGAGGTACGAAACGAAGTCCTGGTTGCTGAGATTGGGCGCGTTACCACCAAACGCGGACTTGAGCTGCGCGGCAAGAGTCAAGTTGTCAGCGTGGTCGATCAAGATCCGGTCCACCACATCGATGAAGGTCTGCTGGGTAGAGATGCACTGCGACGGACCGAACAGCCGGATCGGCTCGTAATACTCCCAGAAGTCAATGATCGCTTCCGTGACTCCGGACGAGGAGACCGCGCCCCAGTAGAGATCCGGGTAGATCTTGCGCAGGAAGGCGACGAAAGCGCCCGCGTAGGAGCCCCCGTACGCAATCCAGGGAGTAGTGGCAGCGGTGAGATCGAGACCCTCGAGACCTGGAAAGACGACATTCGAGGCAAAATAGGCGTAGTCGGCGAGCGCCTGCTCGGTCGTCAGGAAGCGGATGTTTTCCGTCGTGAGGTTGGTAAACGGGTAGCTCTCGCCGTAGTAGCGGTGCTCGAGGATGAGGCCGATGCCGTGGTAGGCGGACGCTAGTTGGGTGACGATGCCCTGTGACAGAAATGGGATCCGGTCGCTTCCGTCCGTTTCACCCGCTGCGATGACAAACACCGGACCTCCAGGTTCATAGTGGCTGGTGTCAAGCCAGTAACGCAGGTCGAACGAGTCATTGCTGTGTGGCTCATAGCGGGTTTCGTTGTGGAAGTGGTCCACCGGCACGGAGAGGTTGTACACAGGAAAGGTCGCGGAATCTTGCTTGGAAGATTGCTGCTGGAGCTCGCGCAGGTGTGGTACCCGTTGCACCAAAGGGCTGAAGTCGAGGGCGAGGGTGGTGGCTACCAGAGCCCCCAAAAGGGGGAATGCGAGGAACATCGCGGAGCGGGTGCAGCGCGGGCACTGGAGATCGGGGGGTTCGCAGGGTTATATACGCCCTCGGATGGTGTCACTTCGGGAGGGGAAGCCGCATTCCATCGAGCAGCTGCCAATCAGGTCGGCCAGGCAGGCCAAGATGTGCGGTGGTTGCCGATGCACGCCATTCCAGCTGCACGATGGGCGAGGGACTTGCTGGCTCCCTTGCAGGATCGGCGCTTATCGGTGAGTCCGTCGGTCTCCACCGGGCCAGGGAGCCGAGGGTGAATGCTGGGTTGAGTCTGCAGCTGTGTGAGTGTGTTTTAGCATTCTGATTTGGGTCAATCTTTGCTTTCCTTTCTTGAACACCCATCCCAGGATTTGGTATCTTTAGGTTGTCAAAATCCCGCTGAAACTCCGATCTGTCATGGATTTTCCCTGGATGGTGGTACCGCGGGGAAACATATATCGTTGCTCATCCACTCCGCACTTCAACCCTCCCATTTATTGAGTCTGCGCCCATCTCAAAAAACCCACATATCATTACCGTGGCATGTCAGTTGAAGTTAATTGAAGGACTGAGCGAGCCTGGACAGTCATATGCGGGTCAATGGGTCATCAATCCAATGCAATTGCAGGGACATGACCTACCCTCAGTACGAGAAAGCTAATGTGTTGATGTCACAGTGACAACACTTTGAGCTGGTTAATATAACAATATAAAAACCACATACTCAACAACTGGCCTGCTGGCCCAATGGTAAGGCGCTTGACTACGGATCAAGAGATTGCAGGTTCGAATCCTGCGTAGGTCATTAATTTTTGCTGTTGGCGGACATCAGCCGGAGGTTTGTTTTTCCGTGAACATCTTCAAGGAGGTCAGCACAGCACAACCTGAACATCTTTGAAAGGCTGCCAGTTTCAAGTTCAATCATTTTTGGTACCCAGACGGACACTATATGCTCGATGCCACAAGAGAATCCCACAATGAGAAGCCCCTCCTGTCGTGTTGGCTCTCTCGAGTTCGCTCATCCATTCACAAAAGCTCCAGTTAGGGCTTACCGGAGCCACAGAAAAACATTCACCATCACCCAATAACAACAGCAATACATTCTGCGAATCGTTGGAAAACCCCCCAATATGCAGGTACAAAAGGCAATTCTGCGTGATTTAGTATGAGCTAACCGGAGACCAGGCTGCGATCAATCGACCCGGTATGCTAGTTTTGGGGCCGCCCCCAACTTTCACCACAGTACGAGCTTCCATTTGCTCCCCGAGCTCTGCAATGCCACCATGGCCCCAATTAAACCATACGACCCACTGAAACTGTTGGAAGGAACCTTGCCGATCCAACTGACTGGAGTTTGTCCTTCACGACGCGTCCAAGCAGGGCTGAGCACTGCTTCTCGCCCCATCAGCATGGCATTAACGCAGGAACCAGCTCACCCCCTGAGCAATTCTCCTTCATTCTGCGTTTGAAGTCTCTCACACCCATCTCTCCATCTTTGGGGTCTATCCTTCCTCTTTCCTACTCCCAATTACCATACCACCAACCTGTCGATTGCACCCAACATGATAGCAACACCCCGAGCAGCAAGAGCATCGCGCTCCAACGTCCTCACCCTCCTTCTCTTCGGTCTCATAGCCCCCCCTTTCGCCTCCGCAGACATCACCATCGATACCAATCCTCAAACCACACCCGCTGCCGTCGTCGAAACCGTCTCCCTCCTCGACGCCAGCGGCATCCCCATCACCACCGCCAACGACCCCGCCGACAACGCCTGGTACGTCCCCCTGACGGGACCAGCCAGCTCCCCAACCGGCGCCTCTTGGGGTGCCCGCATCCAGTACAGCAACGATGCCCTAAACGAGATTCTCCCCATTGCCTTTGGCAGCCCCAGCAGCACCAGCAGCAACACCCCAAGCCAAACAGCCACACTCTCCTCCGCCAGCTCCCCAGACGAGCAGGAACAAGACGGCACGCTCGAAATCCCTCTGACATCCTCCTCCATCCTCCTCGGCAAAGACAGCACTGTCACCATCACAACCATCAGCGACGAAGGCACAAACATCACCTCCCTCTCCACCCTCCCGGTAGGCCTCAACCTCGGCCTCCAAGGCAAATGGAACGGCTCCCTCGTCCTGGGCGGAAACTACGACTCCAACCGCATCTACGACGAATCCCACTGGCAGACCCTCTCCGAAACCAGCGCCGGAAACACCTCCTTCATCACAACAGGCATCGTATCTGTCAGCGCCGTCGTGCTGCAACTCTACTCCTCCACCCCCAACGCCTCCGCCTCCGCAGCATCCTACCCCTTCGACACCACCGACGTCCAATCCACCACAAAAGACCTCCCCGCTGTCCTCAACTTCACCAGCGAAGTCATCACCGTCCCAGAGGAGAAATGGTGCGGACGTAACATCTCCGTGCTGTTCAACCCGACCAGCGAGGAGTATCCGGAATTCGAGATCCCGATCTGGGCGGAGTTGATCCCCGCGGGGGAACGGTGTGTCGTGGATGGGGATACGGTCGTCCTCGGGAGGCCGTTTTTCCAGGCCGCGTATTTGTATGTCAATGCCGAGGGTGATATATACTTTAGTTCGATAACAACGGAGAATTTGGACGTGAAGACGAAGACGTTTGATTTGCATGTCGCGCTGTCGGAGGATGCGACGAGTCTTAATGGGACAGGAGGGAATGGGACAGGAACGACGGGGTCTGGGAAGACGTCCGCCGGGGTGGGTGGTGGTGTGACGGGGGGGAACAGGGTATTGGGTGCGATGTTAGGGCTGGGGGTGGTTGCTTTTGGGAGTGCGCTTCTGTGAGGGGCTTTTCTTTGGGAGGTATGGCATATTTTTGTAATATAGATTCGATTCTTCGGGCCTTGCCCTGTAGAGCACTGGCTCTGTTGTTTATTTCTACTACTTGAATGATTGTATGGATTTGCTGGTTCGCATTGAGCTGTTGCTTTTGGGTAATGTAGGGTTTAGTGAGCATGTGGTTGGAGATATACAATTTCCCGGCGGAGCTTCTTTGCCAGTGCCTTGGGACGGTCCAGTAAATTTTCTTAATTTGTATGTGAAGATGTAGATAACCTTTGCTGCTTGAAAAGCTAGCACTTATTAATGTTGATCTTTATAAGCGCGAACAGTTTATTAAAAAAAGATTACACCCAAATCCAACCTTTCAATTGGATCAAATCTTCCCATTCTGTGCCAACTCCCGCATGACACGTATAGTCCCCTCCACAGCCGCCCTGCTCATCTTCTTCTCTTTCTCCAAGAAAGTCGCAAGCTCTTCCTTCGATGCATCAGGGTGTGCCCACTCAAACGTATAGGTCAGGTACAGCTCCCCCTCAGCGCCTTCGCTGACCACGTTGCCGATGGTGCTTCCATCCGGCTGAACGAACACCGCTCTGGAGGGCTCGTATGCGGTCACGGTCTCCTTGACCTTGCGCTGGTCTTCGCGGAAAATCACTTCGCGGATAGTGACGGGGTTCCCTGTGGCTGGATCCGTGGACTCGGAGACGACGGTGGTGGATTGAATGGCGTTGGGAACAAATGTCTCTGCGGATCCGATCTTCAGGAGTAGCCCGGCCCAAACTTGCTTTTGCGTGAGGATTGGGCTGGCCCCGGCGGGGTTGACCGGTGCAGTGAAGGCGAGATTGTTTGTTGACATGATGACACTTTACTTTGTAGACTCGGGCTCTGGTCTGATATGTAGAAGGAGGGTTGTGCTTTCTTTGGCTCACGAATTATGCACGGAATATATACCCCGCATGGAAAGGGGGAGAAACTCTTTTCGAGTGGCGTTCGGACCATGACGTAGTCAGCAAAGGCCGAGGAGTGACAAATCTCGGCCCTGAACGCTACTCCGAGATGCGAGATAGATAGAGTCGTGCCTAGACAAGTGAGGTTCTCTCAAGAAGAAACCAAGATTAGCATTTGGATAGTTGATATCGGCTTCTCTTCTCCATCTCACTAATGAAGATACAGTAGTTGGAATAGATTTCTGCGGTAAGGACTGCCCACTGGTAAGTGCTCCACTTTTGAAGATAAACAGACATCCAAATATCATACCGACAACAATTTCGTTAGTCGAGCTCCAGTCACCTTATGGTTGAACCCCCAATAATGACTGAAAAGCTCAAATGTTCCGAAAATCAATCATCACCCTCACAAAATCTGCCTATATCAACGTTGGCACATACGACCATAGGGTGTGGAGAACAGGGCTTCCCGTCCGCTCAGCCGTACTTAAGCCACACGCCGGGAGGTTAGTAGTTGGGTGGGTGACCACCAGCGAATCCCTCCTGTTTGTATGTTTTTGCCTTTTTTTTTTTTTCTTTCCTCTGATCGATGGAGAGGGTAACACCACCATATAAAAGGGCGTGTGACCACCAGCGTATCTCTCTGCCGTCTTGTATGTTGGTGCTCACCACCTTCTAGGTGGGACACCCGCCACAGGCACACAGGGGTATGAACGTATTTCCTTATAAGGGGATGCTTCCCGGCACTGGTAGATAGAGCCTCCGGCCCCCTCCGCCGTCCTTCAACATTCACTGCCACAAAGACCCCCTCAATAATGAACAACCAGATATTCACTAGGATCATCTGAGTACACTGCTAGAGCCACAGGTTGATCCTTCGCCGGGCTGGAAATCTCTGTTTTGGCAGAAGGGACTCGTATCAATCTAACTGGAGCGTGGCTGAATTCCAGTCGCTATCTAGGTAGGGTGAGGATTCTCCACACTCCTCTTAGCCTAGGTATGTCGCATGAGACTATTAAATATGTCTAACCTTTCAACTGAGTGAACTTCGCCGAGTAAAACTTCTATTTTGTGTCTTATCTGAATAAAGCGCTCAAGACCTCAACTCCATGGCAGAGTGAGGTACCGTATCTATCACTTATTAGCCTCCTGCACCTTTCAATGAGACCTTGTAGATACTAGATAGTCCACCCCTATCGCGCGATGGCCTCACTCGCTAGCTCACCCGGACGGCATCCTCCCGCCTTTAAGCCACATGCTGGAAGATTAAATAGCCTTCAAGAGGGCGGATTTTACAAGTCCGATCTATGGCCAGACATGATCTGGCTGATATGATCATAACATGTCTAACCCCGGTAATACCCTGTTAATACATATTCGGCGCCAATAGATTTATCAGTATATAATAGTAAGCCTTGTCTCTTTTCTTATTAACCCCTTGAAGCTACCGTAACACATCAACCTAGGGGAGTTTTTGCCACTGAGCCAGAAGACTAAAATTACCCGCAGTTACCTGCGGACCCCTAGAATCCCATATATATACTCAGGTACACCCAGGAGGAGGCGGGCTTCATCCTTGTAAGTATGCATACCCCGCGGATATCATACCTTACATAAACTTAAAAAAAAGTACTTATATAACAGTTCTATAGGCATATCAGTAAGTCTTTTTAAGAAACTAAAGTTATTTAATATATACGTTATTCTGGTTGAACCAGGCCTCTTCTATATAAAGTTTCTCTCTATCTTTATAAAATTAAAGCCTCCGCGGGGCTAAATTAGGATTACATTAGAATATCTTTAGCTAATGCTGTTTAGTATTTTAAAGATCTAGATAGGAAGAAGAGTAGAGATTCTATTGAAGCTGTGTAATATATTCTTAAGATAGTAATATATACAGACTTAGAAGTCAGGATAGAAGATATACTTTGATTACTGGTTCGTCCTGATTACTTTGATTATGTTTAGATAAAATATAATACTTTGTAAGAGAGCTTAATAAAGATAAAAAAGATAACCTATTTGACTATTTACTGAGCAGCTGTCAATAGATATCTGCGGGATCCGATATTCCAAGACATGTCTACTTTGAAATTAAAATATATTAAAATGGACAGAATGAAGTTGGAGGCAGCTTTTGTTTTGGTTTCTTACAGACTTTTACGTATGTATTCTTGGTATTGTTCATTCAGTGATGTGGATTCATGCTGTCAAGTGAACTAATTGTAAATCTTGGCCTGAAGCCCTGGGATGATCTCTAGATCCTTGGAGCCATAGGTAAACTTCCCATCATTGGAGACCGTCGCCTCTTTATTGCGCCTCTGCTGCTGTGTCTGGCGGACCTTGACCCATTGCTCAGTGGTCAAGTGCTTACCAAGCTCAGTAAAGACATTCTGTGTGAGTCCAAGTCTGTTGAGGAGAGGGCTGTTCGTGATAGGATCCAGAACAACGTGGTTGTTGGGCCTGAAAGGGTGGGTCAGTACTGAATACACGTTGTCAAATTTATAGCAAACTTACCTCGCGAAATACAACACGCCCAAGCGATCAACATGGGCTTGATCAGCAGGTGGCACATGAACACGGTGGATACTCGACTTGATGAATCCGCCCGTGAGAGCTGTCAACGCATCGCAGGTGTTGATCGTGATGGTTCCGTCCTGGGGACGCACCCATTTCCAGTTGCCCTCCGAGTTGAGAATCTGCAGAGCTGCAACAGGCTGGCGGAAGAGCAGAGTCACGGTCCCCAGATCCGTGTGGCCTGGAATATACATTTCGCCGACCTTTTCGTTCTCCTCAGCGCCTCGAGCGGCATAGTGCATGTAGCGAAGATGGTCTTCGCCTTTTATGTCGTACTGGTGGTCGCGGACGAGTTGGTCCTCGTCTGGAAGTTCAAGTAGAATGGCGAAGAGGCGGAGGAGCTTCTCGACTACTTCTGTGTGGCATTTCTGAGGTCATGGCTGTGAGTAAAGTATCGATGCGATTCGAGATCGAGGATATGCATACCCGACTGAAAGCTTCAACTTCCTGGATGTTGTCTGCAACAACCGGTGGTTGTTGTCTGGTGTGGTAGCCATCGAACTTCGGGATATTGTAGACTTGTACATTGTCCTTGATTCCATTGCCAAGTCTGCGACATTTAGCATTACACTTCCTTTTTCTTTTGGATTTATAGACTTACACGCGGTGACCGGCCGGTCTGTACCCGTTGTACTCCCCAACTTCAAGATCCTTGCTGCTGTGGTACTTGAGCTTTTCCTCGAGAGGGAGAGCATAGAACTCCCGACCAAGAGCGAACTGGCGATCGATTTCGTCTTGGGTGATGTTGAAGTTCTTTACGTAGAAGAAGCCTTTTGGTGTTAATGTTAGACATGGCATTGTACTCCGCGCTATTGTGTGGATACTTACCCACGTGTCGAACAGCATGTTCCAGCTGCCTGACCAGGTCTTCCTTGCCACCAGGCTGGTCATACTGACTCAGGTCCAGGGTAATCAGCTCGGCCCAGTCGACTATTCAATTTCATTTAGCGGGTTTAAAGATAAACATCCACGTCGGGACTTACGGCTTTCCTTGGTCACAGGGACATGATCATATCTGTCGATTATTCTAGCAGGCATGTTGCAGAGAAAAGAACTGGAAGCTCCAGCGAATGAAGTGTTCAATCCGGATTGAGTGATTAAATCTCCGAAGACAACATTCACTGCAACGACAGGGGTACTTAAGCACGAAGCGATGCGTCAAGTGTTTACATCAACCCCGCACGGCATGAATACCGATGGATGATCAAAAAGCCTCGCAAAGCACGCAATCCCTTATCTGGCAGTCCGAGTCGAGTCCAGCCAGCACGATGCAGGATGATTGATTCGTGCCAGAGATAACAGCCGATTAAGTTATTGCTCTGGACCAGGGTTCTGGCACGTCATCCCGCACCACAATGTTGTACTCGCCAACCAACCCGCTGGTATATGAAACCCGCTATAGCTTCTTTCCCCTCTTATGGCGACACACAGTGGAGCCATAACAAATTCGTCACGAATATTGCGACTTTTGAATTTCCTGAAATGTATAGTATGCTGTAGTCATATAAATTAGGGGATGGATCATTCGATATGTCGGGGCAGGAGCAGCATCTGGGACTCATTCCTTCGAGGTATCTAGGCGGATTTCGACGATCATGTCTGGTAAAAGCTTGAAGGATGGAAAACTGGGTCCCTGGGGACTTCTGAAGGAGGTCTTCAACTGGTATCCGTCTGATTACCCCGCAAGTGAAAGGAAGTGAGTTAATTGATCCTGTTGTTGCCTTCGATCTGTCTGACCGACTAGACTGCTCTTCAAATTGGATTTGTCCATTCTTGTGTTTGCATGTCTCTGCTGTATGTCCCATTTAAAATCTCACCTAGCTTTATCTAACGAAATCTAGTTTTTGTCAAGTACTTGGGTACGTTGATCCGGTCGGTATCCGGGTCGTGAAGTTGATCTGTTTCAGACCAAACAAATATCAGCAATGCATACGTCAGTGGGCTCAAAGAGGACTTCCACCTCAATGGAGATCAGCTCAACTATCTCAACGTTTGCTATTATACTGCATATGTTGTTTTCCAAGTTCCGACTCTACTGCTGATTTCCCGGCCACAACTGTATGTCCGACTACCCTCATACTAGAAACCGTCACTGATGAAACCAGAGCCCGATGGCTCCTTCCGACACTTGAGATTCTTTGGGGAATCTGTACCTTTGCCCAAAGCCGGGTCACCGACATAAATCAGCTGTACGCCCTTCGTTTCTTGGTTGGTATATTCGAAGCGCCCGTTTTCGCGGGAACACACTTCATCCTCGGTATGTCTCGCGCGCGCCCCCCGCCCCCATAGCTTACGTTGTCTAATAATCCAGGATCTTGGTACTCGGGACCCGAGCTTTTCAAACGAGCCGGCACATGGTTTCTTTGCAACGCACTCGGGACTATGGTCAGTGGATATCTACAAGCAGCGGCCTATACCAACCTGTCCGGCGTCGGCGGCATGCCTGGGTGGAAATGGTTGTTTATCATCGACGGAATCTTCACCATCCCCGTGGCACTGATCGGATTCTTTGTCTTCCCTGGAGTCCCGGACTCCCCGCGTGCCTTCTTTCTCACAGAAAGCGATGTCGATTTAGCCAAAGAACGGGTGCAGAGAGCCAACATCCGCCGTCCTGGGAAGATGTCCCTCGATGTGTTCAAGCGCACACTCAAAAGATGGCATATTTGGGTTTTTGTTTTATCTTATGCGTGGGTATTCCATCTTCCATGGTGATCGGAACGTAATGCTAACGTGTCCAATATTTAGGTGCATGATTCTATCGTCTTATCCCACAGCATATATGAACCTCTGGCTCGAGGCAGAAGGCTACTCTGTCACACAGATCAACAAGTTACCGACGGTGACTTATGCGATTAACATCGTTGCCTCTTGGCTGGGGACGACCCTGGCTGCTATCTATCCCTCCTGGCTCATTTACAGCATCGCGTCTCTCTGCTGTTTGTTTTCCACGCTGTGTATGATTATCTGGAATATTCCCAAAGGATTGAAGTGAGTTACTTAACTAGTAAGACTCAGTGACACTGCTAATAAGCGAAGGTTTGTCGCATGGTACCTCTTTGGTACTGCTGGATGCACAAGTCCCATCCTATACTCGACCGTCAATACGATCGTCAAAGACGATTCAGAGGAGCGCGCGCTGATCATGGTACGCTTCCACATTTTTATTTATTAGTTCCTGGTTACGGGGAAAGCTAATATTCCAAACCCCCAGGGCGCAATGATGACATTTGGCTACTCGTTCGAAATCTGGGTCCCTCTTCTACTCTTCCCAACCGCCGGGCCTGATGGTGCGCCTCGATGGCGAAAAGGCTGGCCTGCAGCATTCGCTTTCTTCTTTTTACTGTGGGTTGGATTTATCTCGGCCATTGTGATACATAGACGGTAAGAAGCCCTTCTCTTGGCCAGCAAGCTGATGTTTTCTAATTGATAGTCATAGTGAGCAAAAGCGCAAAGGACTTTATGCGGAATCCTCGACGGAGAGCACGACAGATGAGGAAACAACCGTTGTGGTTGAGGTTGGACCTGGGGAGAAAGGTGAAAAATAGACGGCAAAGACCGAGGAGGCATACAGGATGTAGTTATTGCTATCCTCAAACAATACATGTTCAGAACAATATATGTGTTCAACAAAAACTGAGCCTCTTGTCTATGGTTCATATACCACCCCCAATAAATGCCAGATTTCATTCAAAATCAATAGACTCTCACAATCCTGATGGTGGTGTGGTCCTTGAGAAATTTAGGCGCTTCCAGAAGACCCACAAAACCCGCAAAAACAAGACAAAAAATAGAAGAAATTCTGATGCATCATCCGTGAATCGAACACGGGCCTCATCGATGGCAACGATGAATTCTACCACTAGACCAATGATGCTTCATGTTAGGTTGAGAATAATTTGCTATATCACGGTGCAGCAGCGACTCACCCATCCCCAGCTTCCATTCGTCGGCGTTCAGCCCCGAAAATGCGCCTTATTCCAATTCCAGTTCACAGTAACATACACCAGCTCCCGAAGCAAGAAAGCGCCTTGGGCAAGGGGAAAGAAAGCCAAAACACCGGCAACGATCGCCAAACAAACAATCGAAAACCAGTTCGACACGGCGGCAAAAGCATGGTTGGGGACCTTGTTGAACCCATCATCGACCGCGAGGACAACACACATCCCCGACAATGCAACGCTGACAGAACCAAAAATGAACAGGAATGGGGGCGTAAAGCGCGCGAAATATGCCCCGTATTGCCCGTCGACCTTGTAGTAGAACATCCGCCACAAGTACAGTTTGGTCCATATGTTCAGACGGCTGAGTCGGAGCTGTCCGTATTGACGGTATCGTAGGTTTACCTCCGAGTTTGGAACGTGTCGGAAGTGGTCGATAAAGTAGATGAAGTCTGTGTATCCGTCCATTCCGGAAATGTCGCTTGGAATGAGGCCTTTTGCGCGAGCGATCTCGAAGTCATGTTCGCTTTGAATGAGCCATGCGTATGTGCGCATGAATCCGAGGGCGGCACTTCGAAGGTCCCTTGATTCTTGGGACTGTCCTGATAGATATACCTGCCAGACGGCGTGGTTGAGCAGATATTTCGGGATTGGCTTGATGTAGATCTTGTCGTAGTACCAGAGGAGATGTAGACCGGGGTCTTCAGCAAGAATGATTTCGCGACCTCGAACGATCTGCCGGTGTAGTGGATAAACGTGATTGCTCTTCCGTGTTCCGACCAGCCATAGTATGGGGTGTAGCTGGTCCAACTCACGTGTGAGAAGATTGTCGGATAGGAAGGCTTCAACTTCGTCCGAGGCAGTGATGCTCAGGAGGGGATACCCGGGGAGGGGTGTTCTGTTTCTGGTTGCCTTTCCAATTATAGAAGTAGGGCTTTTCGAGCTGTCGAGGATAGACAGATCACTATTCAACTCGTCGTCCCTAGGGAAAGGTGGGAGCAAGGGTTGTTGCCCCGACATTGATTGATGTTGTTGGTTTTTTCCTCGATGAAAGGGATGTCACATAAAGGACTTTCACACTCAGGCCCAGCTGTGTTAAAGCAAGGAATGATTATCCCGTGAAGTTTGACAATGCGAAGAGGAAAAGGCCCCATGTTATATTTCCATCGGTTGCGGGAGGTATGCATGTCACTGGGTAAGTCTTTCTCCCTGTAGCCGCCGAGACTGCATCCCACGGGCGCTTAAATTAGGGCTAGAGGTGGCAGCCTATTTCAAATGCAGCAGAAGGAGCACAACTACTCAGTGTTAAGATTTGATTGGATGAGGGAATAACCCAGACCCTGTCACTCCGAGGCAATAATATCATTTTTTCCTTGTAACCGTCCGGATTCCAAACGGTGATGAGCGCCACTGCGGCAAAAGGAGTACTCCCCGCGCACAGCGCTCCGGAAGAGGGACACTTGCGGTCCTGACAAACGGACGGAAGCAAACTATCAAAGCCGTCCAATGGAAGCCACAGGGCTTTTATCACTTAATCCCTACATATCTTCCCTAATCCAGCGTTGTATACGCTCCAAAATATCTTGATAGCGTTGGTCTCTTCGACTCTGGTATTTCTGAATACCTCTATGATTGGATTCAAACCCGATCTCATCGCAGCCATCGATGACGGCGGAGTCACGCTGAACGACCTAGTCGATGTTAGCTTAGACTACAAGCTGCACAAAGGTTCTCCTTACATGTGTCAAAGGCACTCCAAATACAGATTCCTTGACTGCCTCAAATACACAGACTGTATTCTGGAGCCCACAGCCTCTTTCCAGAGTGCTCATAAAGTCCCGATGGAGTCTAGTATTCAACTCCGATCCCAGTTTCATGACTTCAAAAAGCCGAACAGTGGATCCTTTCCAGTGTCCCAAAAGGGATACTATCTCTCCGGCTACCGTAAAACTGGAGCCTTTGTGAGGAACACCCAGGAATATGAATCCTTTGGTATGATTGCACAGTCCGTAGCCAGGCTTTCCTTCTCCGGCGTGGTTTGAAGATACCAAAGCCTTGAGACGTAAGCATGTGTATTGCACCATGTCAATGCAGACTATCATACCTGCTTTATTATAAGTCCTCCAAAACTATGACCGATGAAGATAATTGGTCTCTTCCGCTCCTAGAAATACCGGGTCAATCTTTCACTTTCCCTGAAGTATGGATAATATTTACCTCTCGCGTACGACGAGCTCGAGCGAGCACCCGCAAAAGGTCACATCCATGGTCATACAATGTTTTTGTCAGCGCATCCGACTCCCAAGCTGTGTTATGATTAAACGCCATGATCCTAGCCGGGATACTCTCCCGTGGTAGGAAATCGCGTAGCCAGTCATTGTCTCCCTGTTTCCATGTCGTTTTTGGGTTCGAGGCCAGACCGTGAACAGCAACGATACTGGCAACGCAACCGCCAACTTAGCACAACACCTGAATTTAGGTAAAGTAACATGCAAATGAACACTTACTCCACGAGGATCTTAGTCTTCCTACCCTGCTCGCTGAATCTATCTGGTTCCGGTTGGATTATCTCAAGCGAATCTAAGTTGCGATCGTCTGGCTTCCGGGAAAAGAGAAGAACCTGTGCGGGGGAAAGAACGAGGAATGCGCCGAAGTCAAGGAGGAGCAATATCGATAAGTGGAAAGTATAGCCAGTCGTCCGGAAATTGAGCAGAATTGTTGCCAGAACAAGGAGAGAGAGGAGCACAAAATTCCAAATTCGATCGAATATGACTCTGGATGTCACTGTCCGCCATGCGAGGTATGGCCCAGCTGTTACCGTTAGAAAGGATAATACCGCCATGTTTGATAGGCTGATCAGATATAGAAGCTTACTATAAATCTTTCATTTTTTAACGAGGAAAGCTTTCTTCTTAAATCACGGCTTGTTTTGGTTTATGCAAAATTCATTTGTGTGTTCAGTAAATAAGCGCCGTCAAGTTGCTGTGCGCAGCGTTGCGACGCTTCATACAAGCGCTGGAGCGGGGCTGCTATCTAGTTAGCGCTGTGGTTTATTATTAGATGTTCACGATATTCATAGCATTATTGCAGTTCATTGTTCGGCGTCTACAGCTGTAGACTACCAATTATAGATGCCCATCTAGCGTCAAATCCAAAATAAAGCCCGGTCAGCAAAGCGGGCGCCTATGCGAAATATGATCTGGATGTTGGATGGAAGCTCCAATCGGCGCCTAATACAATAATGCCACCAACATACCAGAAGATGGTATTTCCAGGGCGAATGAATGACTTTATTTCTAGAGATAACTGGCTATTTTTTGTTAGTTCCGAACAACTATCTGGTTAGTAACAATCACTGCGCACAGGTTTGTTGGAGAAATACATGACTGTTCAGTGGATAAGTCGCTGATATCTCATTTACCGCCTTTCCTTGGAATGCCGGACTCAAGTAATGTGAATCCATTATTATCGCTATTATACTGTGTGCAGCCATGTCTCCGGAGCACACATTAACTGCTCGAGGTCTCATCAAAGACCTTTCCAGGATTCATTAGCCAACTAGTGAGATGTTAGCTCGACTCATAACAATTTGGAAGATGCATCATACTGAGGATCGACGCTTCTCTTCAACGCCCTCATCATTTCCATTGTTGTCGCACCCAACTCTTCTTCCAGATAACCCTGGCAGAAATTAGTATCGAGGACAAGGAGTAACCGATATTTGTACACTTGCCTTTTTCCCAATGCCAATGCCATGTTCACCCTGTTTTATCCCCAATTAAAATTCGTTCCGGAACGAGATAGGATAAAAACAGTATTTCTTACAGAAACCGTCCCTTCCATCTCCAGTGCTCTCTGCATCATCCTCGAGACACATGATTTGACCGCCTGGTATTGTTCAGGGCTACGTGGGTCGTACATCACCGCTTGGTGAAAGTTGCCATCTCCGACGTGCCCTAGAACGGTTGAGAAAAGCCCCAGATTGCTGGACTCTGTTTTTGATAGTTCTGTAGACGTTGTTATGATGAATTCCAAAGCTAGGAAGTCCGATCGATCACTCACCAACAATCTCAGCCAACCGCGAGATCGGTACGGCGACATCAGTCGACCAGATCTCGGTTCCTTCCGGTCTGACGGCTAGCATGGCCCACAGTGCCTGCTTTCGGGCCGCCCAGAGGGTATCACCTTCTTCTTGAGACTTCGCGAAAACAAGTTCCTTGCTTTTGTTGCTGCTTAGGATACTCCGGGTCCGTTGGATACTGTCATTAATTCCTGCTTGCGTTCCCGTGAATCTGAGAAGAAAGAATGTCAGCTTCTTCCCATCAAGACATACACACCACATCCACTTACTTCAGAAATAGCGTCGGTGCCTCAGACCAGTATCTCCCCCCAGCTCCACCATTCCGGTTGACAATCTTCATCTGCACATCGTCCATGAACTCCAACGCAGCCAAAGGAACTCCATCGCGGATCAACCTCGACGCCGCAGCCGTCGCATCCCCGACCGTGGGGAACGTCGCAATCCCCACACTGCTCTCCTCCGGAATCACCGCCAGTTTCAGCGTCGCCTCCGTGATGATCCCCAGGGTCCCTTCCGACCCCGTAAACAAAGCGTTCAAATTATACCCGGCCGACGACTTCCGCGGCCGTCTTTTCGTCTTCACCACCGTCCCATCCGGAAGCACGACAGTGAGATTCACCACCCAGTCCTTCATCGTCCCATATCTCATCGCATTAGTGCCACTGCAATTAGTCGCAACCATCCCACCCACATACGCCGTCGGACTGGGGTCCATGGGCAGAAATAGACCAGTAGATTTGATCTCCTCGTTGAGGTCCACCCAGCGCACCCCCGCCTGCACTTTCACATTCATGTCCTGCTCATACAGCTCGATGACCTTGTCCATCCGTCCCAGGTCAATGCAGATTCCCGAGTGCGGGGAGGAGAAATTCCCCTCCACGCTGGACCCCGCGCCAAACGGCACCATGGGGATCTTGTATTTGGTGCATATCTTTGCGATCTCGGATACTTCTGCCGTGGTCTCGGGGCTCGCGACAGCAACAGGTCGGGATGTCGTGTTGGATGTCGACCATTCCGAGTATCCATGGGCCTCGATGTCGTCGAAGTCGACGCTGACATTTTCGTCCCCGATGACTTTCTTTATCTCCTCAACGGCCTGGAACGCCATAAGTTGCGGGTTTCATCACATGAGTAGCGAGTTCCATCACGTACCTGCAGCATAGTCGGCACGTCCGCATATTTCGACCCGGAGCGAACATCCCGAACCTCGTTCTGAGTTGGTTTCGCGCGCCAAGCCTCAGACGCAAGGACGGTCACCGTCGCGGTTGCAACGACAGTGCCGAAGATGAGCATCGGGGTTGAGATAGAATTTCCCGATAAACGTGGTGGTACATCAGTCGCGAAGTTGGCTCGACGGTGATGCCCGAAGTGGTTAGAGGGTCGTGGATGCGCCCGTAGGAAGCATGATTGTGATTGCCTCCAGAAGGTCCGAATCTTGGGTTGCTGCTGCCAGAGTCTCATGGTTGATTCGTTGGTTGGTTGGTTGTATGCGACGGTGTGGTAGATGGATTCAGAGGGTTCACTTCCTGCTGGTGTTCGCAAGTCCGGTTGGCGGGTTCTGTGGATTCACCCCAGGCTTCCACGGTAGGATTGGGAGAGACGAAGCGGTTCGTCAGAGAGGATGTAGCATCACACTGTGTGGGAAGGTGGCCGCTCAGATTGATGGGGATCAGATTATCGCTCAAGTGTTGACACGTGTGAGTTGAGGTGAAAGGTGCATTTGAACACGAGGGGAATACAGGCGACACACGGTGGGTGTCAAGGTGGCAGGATCGAGCAGGATGGGTTGTCGCGATGCGCGAAGGTTGCGGATGGCGCCGAGTGCGGTTGACGATCACCCGTCGGGTTGCCCAATCGGGACGCGGCACCAAAACGCGGGGAGACGACGGTCACGTGATCTGGATCATAGCTCTGTATGTGTGTATGGGGGGTGCTTGGCCGACCCACCCTGTCAAGTATGGTGTGGCTGGAGCACACCCCGGTAATAACCTATTGAATTTGAATATGTATAGATGATCATTTGTGAGAACTTGTCCCGTACCCCCCTAAAATAAAAAGGTGTCTCGATATCTTTCTAGTCATAGAGGTGTACTTACTGATTCAACATCACTCTAGATTCCTTATGTTGGTTTGTATCTCATAAATATGATCAATCAGCCGCTAAAAGAAAGCGAGGGCCTAAATCATTTATCTAATGTCATTATGTTTGGCATTCACATATGTCGTGATCATACTGTGTACAGCTTAAGCAGTAGGGCTGGAATCCCATCGGACCCCGATCTCTTGGCACATGGACACAGCCACACTCCACCACTGAGGGGTTGTCGAGCACTTACTCTACCACTCTACCACTCTACCACTCTACCACCACTTCTCCTCACTTCTCTTCGCTTTCATCCATACCACCTTGACCGCTTTGAACCATACTGTTCCATGATGGCAACAAAGAACGCGATGCAAGCAGTCTCTATTCGCCAGGGCTCTACCCCCTACTCGGCAGCAAACCCCGCCCCCGCATCTGCCCTATTCCTCGACGACAACACCCCGATCCCACAGCTCACGCGCCCAGGAGAGCTTCTGGTCCGCGTCCATGCCGCGACGGTGACGCGTGATGAACTGGCCTGGCCTGAGACCTACGGGCCCAACGATAAGTCGATTCTGGGACACGACTTTGCCGGTGAAGTGGTCGATACGTTTGACCAGACGGGTACGGGGCTCACTGCGGGGGATCATGTCTACGGCATGACTGCTGCGAAGCGGGCACACTCGACGTGGGCCCAGTTTGCGGTGGTCCAGAGCGCTGAGGCCGCGCGCAAACCGGCCAGTCTGGACTGGGCTAGCGCGGCGACAGTCCCCATGAGTGCCCTGACGGCCTGGCAGGCCTTGTTCGTCCACGCCGGAGTCCCCGAGCCGGACCTGTCAAACAACACCACCAGAACGGCCTCCAAGGAAAACCCGCGCAGGCTCCTGGTGACCGGTGCCTCGGGGGCGGTCGGCTCGTATCTGGTGCAGCTGGGAGCCCTGACTGGGCTACACGTGACGGCTGCCTCACGGTCGAAAACAGAGAACGCGGACTTCCTTCATTCACTGGGTGCGGATGAGATAGTGGAGTATGAGGAGCTGCTCGGCAAGGAAAATGAATTCGACGTCGTGACTGATACGGTCGGGGGCCAGGCTCTGGAAAGTTGCTGGCGTCTTGTCCGGGATGGAGGGTCTTTGATCACGGTTGATTCGTCGAGTTTGGGTTTTATGGAAGAGCTTCCGAAGAACCAGGAGGAAAAGGCCAAAAGGGAAAAGGTCAAGGCTCGAGGGTTTATTGTCGAGGCGGATGGTGTTCAGTTGCAGAAAATCGCTGTGGCGGTGGACTTGGGCTTGCTGAAAACGTTCGTTGCGCAGATATTCCCAATCTGGGAGGCCTCTGAAGCCTATGAGGTGGGTGGTAGGAGGTTGGCACGAAGGGGGAAGATTGTACTTTCAGTAGCTGAATAAGCTATTAAATGTCAGCTATGTGTTAAAAGAAATATTATGGAGTTAGTTGATATATAATTGGCAGAAACATTGATTATGCTTTTGAAATTACTATCAACGCTTGTCGTTAATTTCTACATTATGCCCCTCATGCTTAGTGGAAGGTTGCAGATGGCGCTGATTACAGTGACGATCACCCGCTGGGTTGCCCAATCAAACGCGGGGAGAACATGGTGACATGAAACCAAACCGGCTATTATGGATTACGAGGAATGAATGAACTTGCTGAAAATAAATATACCCTGATCTTAAGATTCACTATCAGTTTTACTCTAGGCTAAGATCCTATGATACTATATCCAACCGCCCTTGAGGGTCAAATCAATCGTCGGCTTCCCACCCGATAGAGCCCAGCTTGGGATATATCTATGCATTTGGTGACAGGCCGGTGCGGCTTCCTAAAGTCCATCTTGAGATTGTCATATCACGCCGCATGTCCGTGTCCATGGTGGTGGTGGGCTTGCCGTTTGTGCTTCTGGAAGTGCTGTTCATCGAAGGTGGTATTCTGTGCCTGAGAAACAGAGAGTGGGATTGTTAGAGAGCAACATCGCAAGAAGACATGGGTATTTCAATTCATCAATGAATTAAGCCGTGACACTTACTACCTGCGAGCTTTGAGACGGAACAGTCGAGCCTGATGTCGATGCCTTCACTACAGACGAGCTTGGTGACAGGACCACAGGAGTCGATGCGACGGCGTCCCCACACGCTCCATAGAAAAAATTCGGATTGCTGGCTGTTGCAACGGCGGGTTTGCGATACAGCTGGCAGTCCCCGGGCTCAGCATAAAGCCAGGCCTGGCAGTTCGCCATCTGGCTACAATGGGCCGCACAGTCCGATGGGGAGGTAGAGTCGGAGCCAAAGTTCACAGGTGCGCTGCTGAAGAACGCGATGGTGTCATTCTGGATGTTCTGGACACAGGATGCGGAGGCGACCCGGAGACTTATTGACAATAGAAGCCAGGCTGTGCCTGCACTATGCGAGAACATTTCGGCCGCAAGAGTATATTGTTGGAATTATCCCTAAGAGTTGAGGGTTCAAGAAGAGCAGGCAAAGTGTGGGAAAGAAGAGATCCTAGGAAAGTCCTGTCGGGATGGGCCTTCTGGTCCCCCTTACCATCCCATGATACCAGGTCAGTCATATTGACCAGAATGGACAACTCGCTAAAGTCGGCCGGCGACTTGGGCTAATGCGGATATTTGCACTGGTGGCGAACTCCATAAAGCTATTGAAAGTTATATTATTGTCCTTTCCCAGTTTCAAATAGCTTTGTGGATAGTAATGTTTCGAGGCTTTACAGTCGGCCTGTATCCGAAAATCGCATCACCAAATCCTAGATGACTTTTCTGCTCCCGATATCATTTAGAATGTAGCCTGTATTGAACTATTATCTGCTATCACTTATTTTCGTTATCTTCCATGGATAGCGGAGAACAATGATCCTTGTCTAAAACTTGTGTTAAACCTTTTTCCGGGTCAAGAGGGTCTAATTTATATTTTGTGGAAAATAAGTGCTGATGCTGGTGATAGTAGCAACAGGGAACTATGCCTGTACCTAGAAAAATAATCAATAAGCTCTGTGCCACTAACTCTAAAGGTTTGGGAAAGGGGCCTTGTCCGCAGGGTGGCCAAGGCAAGATCAGTGACACCCGAGATCTATTCCTTTCCAAGTATGAAAACAAGAGCACTAAAATTTGTAGTCCGCCAATCGGATGACAAGCCAATATGCCAAGATATCATTAGATATAGATGTTATTGGTATTAACATTTCACAAGTATTACCACACCATCCAGTGAGCGTTGGTGTAAGCTTGTAAGGTAATTGATCGTGGGTGTATCACGCACTACGGAGTTCCGGGTCTACGGGCTATCAGTTTACAGACCCACATGGCTCATCTAGCTTATCAGCTTTTAGGCATCAACTCAAACTTCTAGAAAGCAAACCCACTATTCGGAATAATTCAGATCCGTGTTGCCATCAGCTTATAGGGCTAGCCAATATAAGCGTCTTGTATGGATGCCATGATTTCACTAATCCTATACCAGGTACCATACCCACATCATACCCGACAGGAGAACATTTAGTCCCAACCTTAGCGGACTACGGAAGTTTATACCCGCTGTCTTTCATTAAGATGTCTCAGAATCTTTCCTTGTTCCTAACTTTCTGCGGCGCAGCGAGGGAACGCTAATAGTGGTTATTGCACAGAGCCAAGCCGCGAGGGCTGAGTTGTGGATGTCGCGGGAGTGTCAAAATGTCAAAAGTCAATTTATGTTGATAGGTCAGTGGAGGGAGAGGCATAGATGAAGGCTTTGAAATTTTTAGGAGTCCGCATAGATAGGTTCCAAAGTTAATCGCCGGGGCTCTAGGGGTCTCAGGGGTCTCAGGGGTCACAGGGGTCTGATTCTCCAGGGTCTACTATTCAGGGTCTCGTGCTTAGACATTAACCCTGGTTTACGAGCAAGGGGCCTTTAAACTTGGAGCAGCAGAGAAACAAACCCCTTGTTATTTGGGACCAATTGTTGATACCAAGGGGACTAGGCCGTGGCCGGTGGGTCTTTCAATCTCCGACATTAGTGAATGGGTATTCCCGGTAATAATATATACCTAACATACGACTTGAAGGTATCGAGGACAGCGGATGTTATTCCTAGGGCTGCTAGCAGATAAACAAAGCCATCTATTGGCTGCGCTCATACCACTTGCTCCTGCTAGCTCCACCAAACTAATGAGAAAGTCGCTTGGGTACCTGATACCACTGCAACTGAGGCATCGGAGCCAGAGGCGAATGGTGAACAGATTAGGAAGTGATGCTAGAGAGGTCACATGGTCTGAAATGGGGAGAAAAAAAAAAGAGTACATGCGTTGAAGCTCATGAACTCTTCCAGAAAAATGTATATAAGGACGGTCCCCAATGATAACAAGATATTAAGTAGGACCTTGACCTCATCAGCATCTTCCTGAGTTATATCTCATAATTCACGAGGATGAAGCTCGTCCAATTGCTCCTGGTATGCCTTTTGGCATACAGGGTGAGCGGCTACGCAGTTTTCGCCCACTTCATGGTAGGCTTTCTGACACAACTCTTCACCATGCAGAAAGCATTGGCTAATATGTTTTCATTGAATACCCCCTTCTAGGTTACAAATTCCGAAAACTACACCCTTGCAGACTGGGAAGAGGATATTAGTCTTGCGCTCGACGCCTCTATCGATGCCTTTGCGTTGAACATGGCGTATGAAGATTCTACAAATGACAAGGCACTCCCGCTAGCATTCGAAGCCGCTGCGAATGTAGAAGGTGATTTTGGTCTCTTCTTTTCTTTCGACTATTCGGGCAATGGAGCCTGGCCAAAGGCTGTTGTGGCGGAAATGATTCTTGAATACAGCAGCTACTCTGCCTACTACCTACACAACTCCAAGCCCTTTGTATCAACGTTCGAAGGACCTGCCAACGCGGAGGACTGGAAGACAATCAAGGAGGAAACAGATTGCTTTTTCGTTCCTGACTGATCCTCACTGGGAGCAAAGGCAGCGTTGGAGGTGGGAGGAGGAGGTATTGTCGATGCCTTGTTCAGCTGGGCTGCTTGGCCGTGGGGTCCACGAGACATGGATACCTACACCGACGCGTCATACCTGCAATACCTCAATGAATCTGGACAGGCTCTTCCATACATGATGCCTGTTTCTCCCTGGTTCTACACCAATCTTCCCGGGTACGAGAAGAACTGGCTGTGGCGAGGAGACCATATATGGCATGACCGTTGGTTGGAAGCATGGTATATCAGGCCTGAATTCATTGAGATCATTAGTTGGAATGACTATGGTGAATCCCACTATATTGGTCCACTCCGTGACAATGCAATGGCCGCCTTTGAGATTGGCGAAGCTGCGTATAATTACGTGACTGGAATGCCGCATGATGGATGGAGAGATCTCCTACCCTATGTCGCGGATACCTACAAGGACGACATTGCTACCATTGCTACAGAGACCTTGGTCGCTTGGTATCGCCTTCAGCCTGTTGCAGCGTGTGGCACCGGAGGGACCAGCGCCAACACCGCTAGTGAACTTCAACTTGAGTTCACCCCTGCTGAGGTTCTAACAGATATGATTTTCTTCTCAGCTCTTCTTGCGGACACAGCTGATGTATCAGTCACAGTCGGTGGCGTGTCAATCGATGCTACTTGGAGAAATATCCCAAATGAGAAAGGGCCACAGACCGGTCTCTACCATGGTCAGGCAGCATTTGGTAGCAATACAGGAGAAGTGGTGGTTACGGTCTCTCGGGACGGATCCACGATCGCCCAGGTGGTCGGTGAAGCCATCAGCACAAGCTGCACTGACGGCCTAGCCAACTACAATGCATGGGTGGGCTCCGCCAAGGCGTCTACAGCCGTCAATGCTGTTACCCCAGCACTCCTGGAAGATCAAGTGTGTGTCAACGGAACTGGGCCAAATAACTTTGCTGGGCTATGTGGCTTCGCTTGTACATACGGTTACTGCCCGGTGAGCGCATGCGTCTGCGAAGATATGGGACAGCAGAAAACATTGCCCAATGCCACTGATGTGCAGGGATACCCCCTTGAAGGTCTGGATGCAAGCTACAGTGGCCTCTGCAGCTTTGACTGCAACTACGGCTATTGTCCTGATACTGCATGTGGAACAGTCTCTGCTCCACTTTCTACGCCGACAGTTTCCGACTTTTCTCCCCCAGCATGCATTGCTGGTTCTGGCGAGGGTAATCTGGCCGGCCTGTGCAGTTTTAGCTGTGCTTTCGGGTTCTGCCCTATCAACGCCTGCACTTGTACTGAGCAGGGAGCTTTGGTCGTCAAAGATCCCACCTCTTCAGCCGACGGAGTGCCAGTCGGCACAGAGGACGACGCTATATACGGCCCATTGTGCAACTTCGCCTGCCAGCGAGGTTACTGTCCGGAAGGTGCCTGTACCAACTCCACCAGCTCCTCGTCTTCTTCATCTTCCTCCTCAACTTCGACCTCGAACAGTACCACTAGTGACGATACTGGCCATCTGGTATACATTGACCCATACTTATGGCGAGAACCCGAGCCGGCTGTTACCTGCGCTCCAACTTGCACATTTGTGATGCCCGTCTATCCGATCCCACCCACAGGCATCTCTTGGCCCAACTACACTACCACTTTCTACTCGAGTAACACAGAAGATGGAGAAACGGATATTGTGACATCTACATATTCTGTTGAACCCTTTAACATCAGTGGGATCCCGCTGTGGCCGGTGACTGTTTACTCCGATGATCCCAACTCGACCACATTTTCGGTCACTCAAAGCATCACGCCTCCTGCATTTGTCGTGACCCTCGGGCCGTGGGAAGCTGTCATTCCTTCCATAGAGACTCCAACCTCGACATCCAATCCCACTGGAACGATTACATCCACCAAGTCAACATCGTCATCTTCTACCACAGCAGCTGTGGTCTTTCTTAGCACCTCTCACGTGGTGATCATTCAGCCGCAACCCACCATTTCGATCAGCATCCCATCAGTCACCCTCCCCACAGTGACCTACATAAGCGGAAGCGTCGACGCTCCCACGGCTACACCCGGCTGTTCGGGGTGCGGGACATACGACTGCGGCACCTTTGGATGTCCTGACCACGGGTGTGGCATATTTGCCTGCGGTGGCGGCTGCGGAGTTTGGGGCTGCCCATCACCGGATGGAGAGACAAGCGGCTGCGGGCTGAAAGGATGCGAGAGTGAGTGCTCGCTCCAGGATTGCGGTGGCCTTAACTGTATCACTGGCAGTTGTGGAGATACTGGATGCGCCAACGGCGACTGCTCGGTCTCGTCGTGTGAGGCCACCACAGCGACCAACTGTGTCGAATACTGCACGGTTACCAGCAACGCCATGGCACAGACAACAACCTCGTGCACCTCAAGTACCTGCTTAGCCATGGTGGGCTGCGATGTCACTGCCACGACCGAGACAGTGACCTCCGCCACCGAGGCCTCTTGTCCTGTGTTCACCACTACGCCCACTGCCACCCTCAGTGAAGATCGATACGACGGGTGCAGTCCCTGTGCCTGGGCCGCCATCCCCTTGACGACCGACGGCTTTGGCCAACTCGTAGAGAAGCGAGGGGTTTATGCGGAACCAACAGCCTACCGCGCGATGGAGAAGCGAGCGGCAAAGCAGCCAGGGGCCACCTATAAGACATTGGGTAAATGTGCACTTCCTACCTCACTGACTTTGGCCTGGCAGGGGGGTGGTAGCTTCCTGTCAAGTGCTCTTGCCAACAAACTCAGAGACAATCAGAAGACCATGTCTCGCTGGTACTCGAAGACAGTGGTGGACTGTACGCCCACGGTAACCCGGATCAGTGACCAGCAGATGAAGGAATACATCGCAAGCGACAAGAGCAAGGCACAGTCGCCCACGAACGACCATGTCTGTGAGTCTTCCTATCACCTTTTCAATCGGTATGCGGAGCCGCGAAAGCAGACAGGAAGCGGCGAGGCGGCCTGCAGCATTTATCATTGCACCCTCTGACGATCACGCGGCCACCCCCTAGCAGCATTGTTCATCAGCTAATAAACTCTCAATGTGACAGGGGAAAGAAACTGGTTCAACGCCTTTTGGGGTTATGTCATGACACAACCTGGGTGGGACTGCGATCGATTGACAACAGTCATGTTCAATGCGGAATGCACGACCAACTTCCTCCAGGAGTTGCTGAATGAAGTGGCGAATAATGACGAATGGGACTTTGTTGGCATGACCCATGAAGTAAACTCATATTACAAGGGCTTTGTAAGCTGTGATCAAAGGGCTTTATTTGATTCTCGGGCGAGTACTGATGACTTCTCAGCTAGCTGATTACAACAGCCCAATAGGCAATGCGGCGAACAAGGCTATCCAAAAAAATGTCATTTCAGCCTCTACAGCTTGGGGGGATGAGGACGGAGCAAAATCTGGAAGACAAATGTTGCAAAACAAATTAACCTTCCTGGAGCAAGTAACCATGGGTTGTTATACCTGGACTCAATCGTGGGTGACGACGGTTCTCGATACAACCAACAACAAGCTTTACACTAAGCTGTAAGTCCACTCCCATGAGGGAAGTTCTATGGATTTAACATCGGAAATAGACTCGAAATCGACAAATACACTTTTAGCAACAAAGAGTTGGATAATACCAAGCTAGCAACCATGTTCCAAACATTCATGAATTCTTGGATTCAAACAATGATGGACTCGGCTTATGACGAATCTACGATATTCGTGAATAACCTCGACTCCAGCTTCACCACTATCGAAGCTGCAGCCTCCAATGCCTTGCCTGCAGGCCCCGCGGAGTATGCTGCTCTGAGAAAAGCATATGATAACCTGATCACACAATACAATCTCCGTAATGATGCGACACACGTGTGTAAGCAACCGATTAGTCTCACTTGGAAAAGCCTCAGCTATATCGAAGAGAGCAGCGAGAATATTTGTGAGGTGCGCACCACTAGCACCGCAACCACTACCACTTCTACCTCGAGCAAAACCAGCAGCACTACAGCATCAAGTTCATCCCCTACCGCCCAAGTCATTATTTCACTTCAGGAAGACGCCAGCGCTATAATTGCATTCACCTGGGAGTTTTATACACCAAAGATCGGAGCTACATTTGAGGTATGTGATGGCATCGGCGACGTCACTGCTCCAGATGACGAGGATAGCCTAGGATATCCTTATCCCGATGGGGACTGGACTTTAGATTTCAAGATTGATGATATGAGTGACTGCTCGTATTCAGGGAGTGCCAGCAGTCCCGGAACATTCAGCTGTCCAGACCTATCATCCACGGTGCAGTGCACGGCTTGGGCCGGGACAAAGGAACCATATTACTGCGCTGATTTGGATTATATCTCTGTCAGGCCTATGGTAGTATGTCAATGGTGAGCTATCTGAAATGGAGTAGATTGAACTACGGTCTTCGAGCAGCAGCAGTTTTCTCTTTATTTCTCTGCCGGTTTTGAGCAATTTTTGTACTTAGAATATTGACCCCCAATACACTTCTTTTCAGTTATTTTCATTGATCGGACCCTCCCTTGCCTGCCTGAACCACTAAAACACCTAGCACACCAAGGCTTCCTGATTGATTCCCCACCATCGATAGTATCTACAATCAATAAATATGTGTTAAGGTTCACAGTTTAACTGTATGCCTCTAGTCATCATAGTGACAGATAGTGGCTGGAATGCAATCAGAGCGTCTGAATGGAAAGCTACGTAATGATGTTGTGGGATTGTAGTGACTGTCTTACGTGCTGGTAGTAAATACAGAGCAGCATTAAGTAGCCCATCACATTAAGGATTCCGTGTGACATGAGAGAAGACTCCAGCCCCCAGCCCGGGGTTGCAAGAAAGCTCTAGGAATTGACAGGGTAACGCAATCTCCAAGAATACTGCCGCAAGATCTTGAAAAACCTCCCACCGTCATACCTCCGACCGTCATACAGCGTCCCCTTCCTACTCCTTTCCCTCGCACTTTCTTCTGCCATGTGTATGTGGAAAGCAACGCTTGCCCAAGGGTCGCCCCTCGCCTCGACCCCCTGTAGGAGCCTCTCGAGGATGTCGCAATCGCAAAATAGAACAGCTTCACATAGGGCCAAGTGGAACTGGTGGCGCTGGTGCAATGTGGTGGTACCTCGATCAAACAGCATATGTGCCCTAGTGGTCTTAAATGAGGACCAGCGCAGGTGAACTGTAGATAGATCTATTTCTTCATTTATATCTGCGGCGTACTGGATGATCAGGTCAATGGTGGCGTTTACTTCTGCGTCCTCCGCAAAAGAACGCGCGGCATCGACGATGAGGTGCGCCCATGTCCCAGTTCTAGCACAAGCGAGAAACCCTCGATCCAGAAGCCACTGGACGACATCCGGTCTTCCTCGCCAAGCCGCTGACTTGAGGGCTTTTTCACATTCGGACGCACCTAGGCTTTTTGGTGAAAATAGCTCGTCCCATCTGCCCTGTTGGAGGAGGAAGTCGAGAACAGCGTGACCGCCCTCGATTGCTGAGTTGAGGAAGGAAGAACTACCCATGTGTTGCGCTAAGTCGAGCCCCGAGTCCAGCAGCATCTGTATTTCCGCCGTTCGACCAGAAGATACTACCCTCGATGCGAGCGATGCCGCTGTCGGATCGGCCCCCGCCTCAAGCAGGCGGCGAAAGATGCTCTCGAACGGAATGGCCATCTCCAGTGCAGACGGAGCAGAATTGTTCTTGCCGCTTTTCGAATTTGGATCAACGCCCGCTGCAAGAAGCAATGCAACGATGGGCTCGAAGCCCTTGCCGATTGCTCTGGAAAATGGTCTCCAATCTTTTCCGAAGTCGTAGCGACCTGGGGCCGGGGACATCTCAGCTCCATGAGAAAGTAGCAACTCAACAACCTCGGCATGGCCTCGATCTGCTGCCCAGCATAGCGCTGTGGGGAGCTCGTCTGACATAAAAGAGTCGCCCGCGATGTATCGACCATTAGCATCATACCCATGGCGTTCTAGAAGATCTCGAACCATAGTAGTCTTTCCACATGCGGCTGCAATGCATAGAAATGCAGCTTTTTCACCCGGCTCTGCTATAAGTGGAAAATAGTCCGTTCGCTCGAGAAGAAGGTCGAGTACTTTGTAATGCTCCCCTTCTGTACTCCATGCGAGAGGACGGATGATCGCTAGGTGCGATGGGCCTCTGTGGCGAATATCATACTCGACCGTCCCCGCATCCAAGAGACATCGGACACACTCGATATGGCCGCGCCTGGCCGCCCAGCAGAGGGGCGTGGTTCCATTGCGAACAGTGGCGTTGGGATCCGCTCCCCGTCTAAGCAGGAACTGCATGACCTCGTGCTTGCCGTTCTCCGCTGCCAGCGCCAGGGGCGTCATCTGGTTCTTATCTCGGGCCTCAATGTCCGCTCCTACGTCGAGGTGAAGTCGCGCGATTGTAAGATGCCCTTCCGCAGCAGCCTCGGCCAACGGCGTTCGCCCTCCTCGAGAGACCGGGTAGTCGACATTCCCGGGCTGGGGCAGATGGTCCATGAAAAGCCGGGCCAGTGACTCATGGCCATGTTTGGAAGCCAGAAGCATCAAGCTGCCGGGAAATACTTCCAGTTCCTTGGAAGGTGGTGCATCTTGTCCTGCATCATTCCCGTCATCTGAGCCCTCGTAATCATCACTTACATCCGTGGAATCGCCGTGTTCATAGATCCCGGTGTATTCAAGTGGATCCTGATAGTGAGGGTTTTCCCAGCCCCGGTCTCGACGCAGGTCAACGCCCTGCTCGCAGAGTAGCCGCACAAATGCTTCATTGCCACGGATCACCGCCATTGCCATCGGCCGCCATTCGGTGTCGGGGTCGCACTCATCCGGCGACGCGCCTGCATCGAGAATTTTCCGGGCCGTGGCGATAGCGTCGTGTTCAATCGCCCAGGCTAGGGCCGAGCTGTCCTCGTGCTGAACGTTGTGCCTGTACAACATGGGATTGACAGTCTGGTATAGGGCCCGATCAGTGCGGGCGAGGGCATTGATCTCACTCTCATACTCAAGCTCCTCGACGATGAGCCTAGTGAGCTCAAATGGAAGAGATGAAAGAGCCATGATCCCTTCTTTCAAGACCCATGAGGCACGATTTGTATGTCGGGGGAAGAGGGTGGTGGGGGTCATTTTATTCCAAGCAGAATGACATATCTAGTCCCAGTGGGGAATAGCCTCTCTGGACCGGATTCACTTTGACTTTCCAGACTCGGCTTAGTGCCAATACGCCTGTTTAGTGTTTACCCACTGGCATGTGCTCTGTACTCGCATTCAAACAGCTTAGATACAGGCGTATGGATCAGATTTCTCCCATTGACAAACCTTTGAACTCGCTGAAAATATGTAACTTCCGATATGCCTCCAACTCAAGCCCTTGCGAACAAGTCACTCGACATTAAGTTTGCTGTGTAGAGTTTGCTTCTATCACGATTTCACTTTTTTAAATTGTCCTTTTCCCACCTATCTCTCGGCATCCTGTACTGGATGGAGATTAAGGACAGTCATCACTCGAAGCTGCCCAGCATGAACATGGGCAATGTGATGCATGTTCACTCTCTATATAGTTCCATCTTTCCATGACCCTACCACATACGACCATAGGGTGTGGAGAACAGGGCTTCCCGTCCGCTCAGCCGTACTTAAGCCACACGCCGGGAGGTTAGTAGTTGGGTGGGTGACCACCAGCGAATCCCTCCTGTCGTATGTATTTTTTCCTGATTTTTATATCTTTTTATCATGTCTGAAGGTGGTGCTGTTGCTGTTTGTTGTGTATATGAAGCGGTAGAAGGCGCGGAGTACAAAAAGCGGACGGTGAATCTGATATGACGCTGTGTAACCAACCCCCCTGTTGCGCGGCAATGTGTAAACCCCGTCCCTCCCCACAACTTTCCATATTACCCATTTAATCCCAGCCTTCGACCAGCTCACTATGGTCTTCATCGCATCTCCCTGGAGATAACTTGGGATGTCTATCTCTCCCAAACATGTATTGTTATCGTAGAACTATGAACAATCAGTGTTAATCAAACACTAGGTTCAATCATTAGCCAGAGGTTGCTTTCCCCCTCGTGAAATCGATGAAAGGCCAAACCCTTACCAAGGAGATAAGACGTGGAGAAAGTTTCCACCTTCCTTTGACCTAGGTCAAGAACAACCTTTTCGGCATCAGGGAGGTCCCCTATTGGAGACAGTGTCTCCGCGTCAAGATCCTTTGGGTCGGTAGTTACGATAAGGCGAACGAAGACTAAATACATCAAGGTTCATAACGACAATTTACCGCTTGTTCTTCTTCTTCTTCTTATTCTTCTTCTTAGAGGAAAACGACATTTTCTCCAACCCAGTCCAGTCTTCTCCTTGTAAGTTGAGCCCCCTTTCCTCGACTAGGGCGGGGAGTTTCTCATCCTTTTCGAGTTGCTTGAGATCGATCCCTAGCACACGTCCGATGACCGGGGCGAGGTCGTGGGCAGCACAAACGCGAAAATCGCCGCTTTCGACGCGTTTCTTGTTGCGTCGAGTAAGTCAGTAAGTCGTTCGTTGAGCTCTTCTTCGACCAGGGCTGTAAGCTGTTTGCCGTCGATCACGGTGTTCTTGATCAGATCACCTTCCATCGGATCGAAGTATGGTGCTCCGATGAATGAGGGGTCGATGACTCTGTCGAGGCGTTTGTTGGAGGAGGGGTTGTTGAAATTTCTCAGATCGAAGATCAAGACATGGATGCGATACCATAGCCCTGGAAAGGTGGATGGGTCCTTTAGACTTGACACGGTGGTAACTGCCGAGTCTGGACTCGGGGCCTGAGTAATAGCACCATCGGTTGTGGTTTGTGACTCGGATAACGGGGCCATCGTGAAGAGGGGATAGTAAGGGGGTGGAAAGAGCGGGGAGGCAAAGTCAGGAGAGCGTCATCTTACACGCCGTATGATCATTTGAATGTATTGCTCGCTGACTCACCGAATTGGTACGTAGGCGCGTAGATATTTCGTCATACAACCGCCATGCACGTCGAGATTCCTCGCCTTTTAAGGTATAGTACACCATCATCTGATATGGTAGAAAAAGGTGTGGCTGTGGCGCCTCGGACATGATGAGAAAGACATAGATGTACCACTGCATAATTAGTTATGAATGGGAAGGAAGTACCAGATCGACGCGAGGAATCAATCACTGCATCTGCAGTGGCTGAACCACTGAATCAGCGATCTGCGGGTTAGATCGGCAAGCCTATCTCTATTCCCGGCATGGCTGTCTGTCAGCTCGCCTAGGTAGGCTGCTGTCACTTTTACTGTCACTATCACCATCAGAAACTTAAACAGAGGGGCGGTCAACACCTACGCTATTTTCTTTCTTATCTCAAACCTAACAGAGCTTATCTTTTACCTAACCCACACATATAAACCAACCGAGGCTGGGTAGATAGTAATTAAACCATCAAGTCTAAACCCTAGTCCGCTGGATCATTCATTGCCCGGGGTGCGAAACCGAAACCCTCCACCCAACCCCACTACTGTATAGAGACTAGCACCATGATCTAATCAGGCAACCTGCATGTTCCACCCCTCACACGGTGCACCAGCAATATCAGCCTAGGGAGCCGAGGATAGCCACTACGCATGTAGGCATCCTCATCGAGACGCTCACGTGCCCGGCTGTTGTACTGGATAGTGAATATACCCCTTCCTTTACCCCGCTAATGCTAGGATTCCACGCACTAAGCATTGTGCACTGTGCAGAAGAACCCTGGGCCGAGTACGGAGTAGATACACAGTGGTATTTCTGGCATCTGCAGTCCTACCTAGATACCTATCTACCCTGAGTACCCTTGTTAATCTGATCGCGACCCTTGACTGCCCACCTACCTCATTCCTCAGCAATCCTGGTATATATCTCTGAATAATCACCACCACCACCACCAACATACTCTACTCTCTCCCCAGAAGAAGAATCAATCACACCATCTTTCCAGAAGATAGAGTGCTTATCCCCCCCTCCCTCTCTCCCACTGGAAAAAAAAAAGGTAATCGATCCATTCTGTAATCACAATCACCAATCCTACGGTCGCAACCTCCCGTCCCCTCTCTACTCCCGTCATATCCGAATGTATCTATAAGCGGGGGCGTTATTATCATCCTGTTCAGGAATAAGGAATGATGGATCCAGACGATCCGTTCCGTGTTCCGGTTAGCCGGGCGTCACCCACGGCCCAGCCCATCCCATCCCATCCCATCCCATCCACCCCCTCCCCTCCCCTCCCTCCCGAACAATCAAACCAGAAACCACGGGATCAGTGGATCAGGTTGACGTGTGTGGATGTGTTTCAGCAACAGCATGATTCTGCTCCAGCAAAATTCCTGACAATCTACGTAACCGGACGAACAACGCTGTCGGATGAAACGGCACGATCGGGCCCCAATAGGTAATCCCTTGCGTGGGCTGCTGGGTAGACCGTAGGGATAGCATATCATGTAAATCCGATGGGGGGGCTAGATTGATTGCCGTGGGGAAGTCTACCTACGGTAGCTGCAACGCCAACTCCGATGAATGGGCTAGGGCGAGGGAGGGAGGGCCCTTACATTTACATTCCGGCGACGACTGCTCTGCTGACTCTTGAGAGGGAGTGGCGGAGGTGGAGTTGATGTCATTGTGCTGGACTGGCGGTCAGTCAGTCAGAGTTCAGTTCAGAGTTCAGATTCAGACAGGGGGCAGGGGATGGTTAGTAGTAGATAGATAGTATCTGGGGTTCTCCGTAGTACTGTTCATAGGAGTAAGTAGATCGTTGCGGTATGTGGACGGGTGCGTGTCTCCACCTTCCCCTTTTCACAATCACAATCAAAATCACAGTCCAGAATAGATAGTACAACGCCATTTCACCCCACTCCCCTCCCCTCTCTCCTCAACTTCCCCGCTCGGTCGGTCGGACGGGCCTCCAGAAGCACCGCCGACGCAAGCTGTGAAAAGAAGGCCGATCCCCCGTTTTCTCGTCGGCACTCGGAGGTTTCTGGCCGAGGGTTGTGTACGGCATAGGGTTAGCCGGTGCTTGTTTATGCAGAGCAACACTATTTTCTGCTGGTCATCGGCTCGCGTGCCGATGCGCGATGGGTGACACCCTCGTTGTGTATGCGCTTGTGCAGCTGTCCCTATACACAGTGTGGATTGCATGACCGGTTGACTGTCCGATCCAGCGGGGGAGGATAAATAGGATCCATGGGTCCGCGGTTATGCTGGTCTGTCTGGACTCGACATTGATTAACGGTGGTGACATTTTCAGGATCAAGATAATAATAATAATAGGTCCGTTTGTTTGTTTGTTGGATAGGATTGGTATTCAGGATGCTTCACGAGGATGTTTTCGACGTCCTGGATGGGCATTATTTCCCACTGGCAGTGGGGCTGGTCAGTACATCGTGTCCATGTTCCTGTCCAGGTCCATGTCCACAGAACGCTACCCTGTGTGTTTGTGGATATGCATATGTGAGATTGCTGACAGTTGAGGGCATTCCATCACTAGGTACTCCTGATCATCGTGGCACAATGCAGCTACCAACTATTCATCAACCCTCTCCGCAAAGTGCCCGGGCCGCGACTGTGCGCCGTGACCCGACTGCCGCAGATGTACCACCTCATACGGGGGGACGAAATGAGGTGGATCCAAGCTCTCCACCAGCGATACGGGGACGCGGTGCGGACGTCGCCGGACCAAGTCAGCTACGCCTGCGCCGAGGCCTGGCGAAGCATCTACGGCCATGCGACAGCGACGCGAAAGTCGACGGAGAAAGACCCGCGGTTCTTCGGCCAGACGCTCAGCAAAGGCACACCGGATATCCTGCGCGCCCCAGGACCGGACCACTCGCGCTTCCGCCGCAACTTCTCGCATGCGTTCTCCGACCGGGCGCTGCGCGAGCAGCAGCCCCTGATCGCGCACTACGCGGACATGCTGGTGGCGAAGCTGCAGGCCCTCGTGCAGGCGGACCCGGAGGTCAAGGCGGAGATGGTCTTCCTGTACAATCTGACCACGTTTGACATCATGGGCGAGCTGACCTTCGGTGACCCGCTGAATCTGCTGGAAGGCACCGGCAGTACCAACTGGGTGACGACGATCTTCAGCAGCGTCAAGGTCAACTCCATCCGCCGCGTGGCGCGGTATTACCCGTGGTGCGCCGCGCTCGTGAACCCGTTGATCCCCCGGTCGTTGAAGAAGATGCAGGCCACGCATTACCGGTCCTGCAGGGAGCGGGTGGACTCGCGACTGGCTCGCACGGTCGACAAGCCGGACATCTGGGGGCTGATCATGGCGCAGAAGGAGGAGCTCCGCCTCAACCGCGAGGAGATGTACACCAACTCGCAGCTGTTCATGGTCGCCGGAACCGAGACCACCGCGACGGCGCTGAGCGGCTTGACGTACCAGTTGTTGCTGAACCCGGACAAGTTGGCGCTCCTGACGAAGGAGGTCCGGGGCATGTTTGCGCACAGCGCGGAGATTGACATGCTCCGCTTGGCACAGATGAAGTACCTCAACTTCTGCATCGAGGAAGGCCTGCGCATGTACCCGCCGGTGCCCACGGGCATGGCGCGGGTCATCCCGAAGGAAGGCATGGAGATCTGCGGGGAATACCTCCCGGGGAATGTAGGTCTCCCATCACCTCCTTGACCTCCACGGGCCTGGAAGCTAACGCACAAGCCAGACGGGGGTGTCGGTGCACCACTGGTCGACGTACCGCAACCCCAACAACTTCAGGCGGCCGGACGAGTTCCTGCCGGAGAGGTGGAGCGACGATCCCGCGTTTGCCGGCGATGACAAGGCGGCCTTCCAGCCCTTCTCGTTCGGCCCGCGCAACTGTCTGGGCAAGAAGTGAGTGACCTGTCTTTTGTCTTTTGTCTTTTGTCTTTTGTCTTTTGTTCCGATTGTCGCCTGTGGGTTCCTCGTTGACGTCCGACTGCTAGTCTCGCGTACCACGAGATCCGGGTCATCCTGGCTAAGGTGCTGTTCCATTTCGACCTGAGCCTGGCACCGGAGTCGGCAGGCTGGGAGAAGCAGCGGGCGTGGTCATTGTGGGAGAAGAAGGACCTGCTCGTTCAGCTGACGCCGAGGACTGTGTAGAGGCGAGGCAGTCAGGAAGGGGTGGGGGGGGGGGGGGGGAAATGGGATGGGATTCTGTGTCGAGTGGGGACATGGTCGTATCATAGCGACGGGGTGGTCGTGTGGCTGGAGGACAAAGGATGGAGACAGCAGGGGCCCAATGGAGAGGATAGGGTAGTTAATTCCTGGCCAATCTCATGGAGTACCACACGGTGGCTGGCTGGACTGCACTTTAGTCCGTACATCGTAATTAATCGTAAAGCCGAGTGTCGGACTTGCCCCCTTTCCGAGCCCATCGATCTATCGTCGATCTGGAGGGATCCCCCCATGCCTTGCATACAGCATCTGACAGCATCTGGCCGGGTCTGGATGGCAACACAACTTCCGCAAGGGGCAACCCTCCACCTTCGCCTCTCGCCATGACGTCATGAGGCATGCCAGCAGCCGGTCGGGGGGCAACATCGCCCTCCACCATCCGTCAGCCCAGAGGCCCAGGGGGGGGGGGGGCTGGGCTTTTCCTGTTCCTTCGAGTACTTCTTCTCTCTCTCGCCCACTTCTGGGGTTGTGTCTGTGTGTGTCTGTGTTCTGTTTGGCTCTTCTTTCTGCCAGTGTCTGCCGATCGCCACGAGGACGCAACGATATGACGTCGCAGCCGATCCTTGGGTGCTGCAGCTGTGGTTCCCAAGGTGGAGTATGAAGTAAGGCCGGCAATGCGAGATGGTGGTGAGGTCAATAGGCCTCCGGCCTTACCATCAAAACCATTGCTGCGGCACCATTGCGGTCGCATAACTGTCTGTCTGGAGAACTGCTTGCAGCAAGACCGGTCGTGATCACTCGGGTGCCGTGTTGTGTGGTGTGGTGTGGTTGCCTCGATAACCATGTTCCAGCACACGACACACCCAGTGGGCTCAGTATACTTTCCCTGTCATCGCACGGTGAGGTGTGACTGTGTTCATCATTGTTGACAATCACAGGAATGGTATGGATGATCGGATCAACACCCGTTATTCAATGGGGTTTGGAGGTGGGCTGCCAGTGTGTCCCCAGGAGTGTCTGTGCCTGCCCGGATGCAGGGCTGCGGGGAGGAGGATGCACCGATCGCTCTCCCCCAGACTGCCATTCACTCCAAAGACCTCCTCCTTGACTCAATCTGGCCAATGCACTCCCTACTGCACCGTCCACACTCAGTCTGAGGGAGAAGCCCAGCAGTCAGCACCGGCGACCAATTCCCCCCGTCCATATGATATGCCGACTCCCTCACGGGGCCACGGATCGCCCGTCTGGTACACCTCGCCTGTCTTGTTTGTTTGCTGAACATGCGGTCTGTCATCGCCACCCACATGTGACGCGATGCCTCTGTCCTCCCTCGAACCATTCAACTCCTCCGTGGAGGCCAACAACAACACCGACACCGACACCGACACCTCACGCATCTGGGCGCCATCCCTGCATTGTTTGCCATCGCATGTGTGGGTGGCCTGGTGGTTGTGGCGGTTGAGGGGGTGGGCCTGGCTCGGAAGGAGGCCGTGAGATGGAAGGCTGCGAGGCGAGGTCCAGACTGGCCGGAGCCCGATAACACGCGAGGGCAATCGACATTTCGGCTAGTACCGTGGCGGGGAGGAAGGCAGACTGGCTGTCGGAGCACGCAGGATCCCTGGATAGTGGCCCCCTGTCACTCCTGTCACGCGAGAACGCCTAGGAATCCGACTGGCCGTCAGTCTCGGCGAGAGGTCTCAGATCACCCATTCTTTGCCGTCGTTCGGTTCGAAGGATGACAACCTGGTTGAATCGAACTCACCTGTTGCGAACATTGTCTCCTGAGTCTTATCAGACCGACCCTTGATGGGGGGATGCCTGTCTGTCTGACAGGCCGAAGAGCATCCATCCCCTGGACAGATCCGCCTAGACCGGGCGGTCATGCATGTGCTGCCTGGTTGGGGCCAGTCCGCACGCCGTCGCCCCAATCGAGCCCTCGTCAGTCCTGGTCTAATCTGCTGACCCCGACACAATCGGTTGCCAGAACCATCCTAGCTGATGCCCGGACAGGGGCACGACAAGGACGAGGAAGACGACGAGGAAGACGACGAGGACGCGGCCGGGGGGCTGCCGTCGGGGCTAGGAGGGACGGCGACAGAACGCACACTTACGGACAGATTAGTTAACTAACTATTATTCTTGTCCAATCCTTAGTCAGAAGGGGCTGGACGCGTGCGTCTCACATGACCGGCTGATCTGCTGCTTTACTCTATCCAGCAGCTTCGTCTCCCCCCCTCCGTCGATCGTCCTGGTTACACCATCGCAAAGATGGGCTTCCCCACCCCCCTCTGATTGGAGTTCGGAATTGTTCATGGGTGCCCAAGCTCAGATGGCGCCGGGCGACTCCAGAATCCTTCGACGTCGCCACGAGGCCGATGGGCGCATGGTAATGATCATTGCTACTGCGGATTTCCGCCAAACCTCCCCGTCTCGGAGACATCCAGGTCCTACTGCCCTGGCGGTCCTGGTCTGGCCAGCTCGGCCGGATGTTTGACGGTTTGACGGATCCTGATTCCTGCATGCCTTACTGGCAGCCTCTCCCTTCATCGCATCGTGTCAGGCCTGGCCCATTTCACGGGCTGCGTTGGTTAATATCGAGCCCGTCTCGTGAGGCACGACCTGCGATGCATCCAATGTGTGTGTGTGTGTGTGTGTGTGTGCTGTGTACTAGTCGAAACACCCCGTATAACTAGTTTTGCCCTGGCCTATAAGCCCCCTGTAGGAGAACGAGGCGGGTGGTATCGTGGATACTGCCAAGGGGGAAGGCGGAAAGAGGTGGCGATTGCCCCTTTGGGTAGTTGCCGCGGCAGAAATGTCAACCAGACAGATCATCTCTTCACCTATGAATTTCTGTTATCTAGTTAGTAGAGAATTAATTATTGTTTTACTAGTATCTTGTTATTTGCGAATAGCTTTATCTGATATCTTTATTGTATGATAAGGGCTGTCTATCTGCAGTATATCATAGCGAATCAAATTATTCTTATCGCTATTAAGTATAATAAGTGGGGCCTGATAAGCCGCGGATTAAGAATAGTTGTTATCTCTTATATTTCTGTGTTCTTGTACTTGTTTATCTATCTATTCTATACTTACTTTATTAAAAAGTGGGTATTACTTCAGTCTTTATAAGGAGAGTGATTTGTCGTCTAGTCTTTGATAGCTAAAAATAAGAAGAAGACTTTGAAGGCTTTGAATTAGAGCAACTGCAGTTAATTAATTAATTATAATCAAATAAAACTAATCAACCGCAAACAATTAATTAAATATAAAAGATTATAATATCATATATAGATAATCAGCCGATGTTTGCCGGTAAGCCGGGCGAAAATATTAGACTGTTTGTGAATTAATATTACTATATATAATATAGAACACCTAATCTCGAGGGCGATAAGCTAAATAAAGCCAAAGCTATAATAATAATATCAGACTTACAGGGCAAGACTCTTTAATTTGCGAGTATACTATCTTAAGTTAATCAGCTGAATTATAATATATTAAGAACTCAGCTACTAGCTAGATTCTCTCTGAGAGAACCGATCAACAGAGTCTAAACAGCGATAAGTAAGATAACTAACTTACGGCAAGAGAATCAAACTGTCGATAAGTATATTAATAAAGTAGAAAGTATTAGTTATATAATATCTGCCGATTCGGAATAGCTTCAGAGATCTTTGATTACGCAATTTATAAAAAGATTAGCTAATAAGACTGTCTGTATTATATTGTTGGTGTATATAAAGACTCAGGCACAGAGAGTGGCTGCTGCGACCGGAGTAGCCCCGGCTATTAATATTATTAATAATAATATAGAAACTGAAGTTATATTATAACAAGCCATTGAGATCTTACAGATAATGAAGAATAATATGAACAAGATCGAGGCCGTTTCAAGCTTATAAACAGATAATAAGACTGTGATGAAGACCATAAAAATTTAGGATTATCTTATTATTAATAAACTTGTGAAAGGGCTAAAGAGTTTAAAGATTACTAATAGATCTTAGTCCCAGTCTCAGTCTTAGTCTCGCGTTCAGTGGGGCCAACCGCAATTCTGTTAGTCTTTTAATAGTATAAATAATCGAATCTGTTATTATTGCGGGAAATAAGGGTATATTACTTCGATATGTATAAATCCGCTCTTGTTATTAGAAGATTAAAATCAAGTACGGTAAGAGAACAGAGCAAGGACTGATTAAGTGAGATAGGTAAGAGAGACAAGAGAATAGTATCCGGTTTTAAGAATATCTTTAAATATAGAAAACAACAGTAACTTATCGAGACAGATATCAAACAGAAAGACAGAACTATAAGCCAAGCCTGCGCTGTTAGACAAAGAATCTCAGTCTATATCTTAGTTAATGAGTAGCCTGAATATTAGTTATATTAATCTTAATAATAATACAGTCAAAAAATAGATTATAAGCGGGAGCCATGCAGTTATAGATCCTTGTATAATTAACTTAAAGACAGAGATTCGGTAAGAATATCAGTCTGATATATTAAAATAATTGTAAAGAGTATATATAATAACAGGAAAGAAAAGATAATAAGAGAGATTTAATAATAGCAAGTCAGAGAAGATTATGTCAGTTACTTCAGAACTGTTTACTAAATCAATTATCACCGCAATAAATACTAAATTTTCTAGACGGGGGCGTGCGGTAAGAAGACAGATTAATGGACTGGATAAAGAAGACTTAGATTTTTGTAAGATCTTTAATAATATTATAATTAAGATATCGCTGACTCAATTACTTGATATTACCCCGGCTGTTTATATTAAGATTAGCAAATTTATAAAGCTTCAGACCAAGGAGGGTGGTGTCACTGAATTAAGTGATAAATAAAAGAAGAAGAAGCCTGTTAAACGCGTGAGACTAATATATATTAAGAAATTAATGCATGCGGCTGATCTTAAGTATTATAATAACTGTTTGCAACCGGCTTATTCTAAGAAAGT